GCCTAGCCATACCGAGCGAGGCCGAGCGAGGCCCTGTAGTGGAAATGCGCCATTCGAGTAAGCATTGTGTTAGCATGAACGCGCTTCAGGTGTTTCTTCAGGTGTTTCTTCAGGTGTTTCTTCGGGTGTTTCTTCAGGTTACTTGTGCTATTTTGCGCTGTTAATACTCCCTTGCTTTTTTAGACATAGTTAGCGCTTGACAGAGATGGCAAAAGTAAACACATCCTTTACTCAAGTAGAAGTACAGATACTCGTGTTTAAAAATACTCTGGTAAAAGTAGAAGTACTGATTAAACTTCTTTACTCAAGTAAAAGTAAAGAAGTAAGGGCTTTGAAATGTACTTAAGTAAAAAGTACCCATAACTACCAGCTGTTTTAAAGAGTAACTGACCTCACTTTATATTACAACCCAGTCTCACGGCATTTCGTGTTATAGTCACGACATTTAATCTATTGATTCGTGTTCACCAACACGATTTTCCCCTTTTTTTTGTGTCACACAGAACGATTTTAAAAGCAATGTATTTCTATTGGTAGTGTGTTTCGTGCCTGCAACACGTCTTTTTGTCCGGTCGGGTCTTGGAAGACCGGAAGCTGTGTGGTTCATAAAAACATGTTCTTTATATATACAGTCTATGGTTCTTACTCAATATCAAGCCACGATTATTGTTTTTAATTTTAAATCGTATAATGTCGGACTTCTTTTGCCGTCTGTGAGGAAAAGAAATGGGGCTCAGAGCCTCAGAATATTGAAATCTGTATTTTTAAAAATCTTTTTTTCCTTCTAATTTGTTATTCTTTTCTAAATAACACACTGTTATTTACTCAACAATAACACACAATTATCCTTGTTTTTAGTTATTTGTTTAATTCCATAATCTCAGGCTTTTTTGCCGTCCGTCAGGAACTGAATTTCAAAATAAAATAACCGGAAACAGATACACAACCACTGAACTGATTACCCAAGATCCTCAGCTATGGTTTAAGCTCGATTGTTGGATTGTTTAGCCGCAATGCACGTCGGGATATGGTGTTTATGCGATATGAAATCCGAAAAACATTTAAAAAAAAAGAAAATAATACTTTATTCCGAGTGTGCTTGCTTTTCTCTTTGAAAGTCATCACATAAATGCATTGTAATACACGGTTTGGCTGCATTAAATATTACACATCTGCCGTACTTATTTATTTATAGAGCCCTGATTAGAAGACTTCTAGACAAACTGGAAGAACTGCCACGGAAACTGAATACGTGACGTGGATCATAAATATATCAGCAATTAAACAACATCTTCAATTTCTCTTCACACAATACGTCTCCTTGCAGTATCAACACTAATTCGGCTGACTTTTATATTTGATCCAATTCGTAGATAGGTTATATTTACACCATAATGGTGCACAGCTGATATAAAAGGACTTTTTAAGGATATTACTGATTTTCTTTGAATATAAGAATGTAAATACTGAGTTGAGAGAATAGTCAGGGGTTTTGGGTGATGGGAGACACATCTATGGAATCAGAATTTCAATAACTTACCATTAAATGACGGATATACCTTTCTGTCTGTGATGTTTTATAAATCAGATATTAATGTGTAGAAGTAAAACATGGGAAATAGCTGTCATGTGGGTATATATGAATGCTGCCCATTATGGACACAAGCGATTTTCACCCATTTATTAATTATATGTTTTACATTTGATAACACCAATGTGTTTAATACTGGCAACTTCTAATTGTGGGAAAAACGTTCCCAGTAGAGACGTCCCATAAAACATTTTGCAAAACACAATAGCCAGCATGTGTAGTTCTTGGGGGGGGGGGGGCTGGTCCCGTGGGAATCCAGTTTTGGATAGTCTGCCGTGGTTTTGTTCCATTTCAAAGAGCTGTTTGACGCTCGGCGTAACCTTGGCGCACTGCCACTCCAACATCCAATCCCAGAGCTTGAAGATTAATCACGGGGACTGTAGTCCCAAACGATAGCCGGGGATTATGGGTAGTGTAGTGTCTTCGGCCATCCTAAACTCCGAAATGTTTTTCGGATTTCATATCGCATTAACACCATATCCCAACGTGCATTGCGGCTAAAACATCCAATCACCGAGCTTCAACCATAACTGAGGATCTTGGGTAATCAGTTCAGTGGCTGTGGGTGTTTCTCAATCGCGAGTACGCTTGCTTGGTAGCACATGTCTGCCGAGCATCTTGCTTCTGAAGCGAGTCAAGAATACTTCCTGGCATTCAGAAAACGAAGTGTGGAACACGCTAGCAAGTGTGCAGGTGTGCGTCATATGAGAGGCCCCGCCTTACATCTTCCGCCACAGATTTGGGGAAATTGGTCCGTGCGCAAAGCATTGTGGGGATTTTAAGACCGCGAAGTCTACTCATGTGCAGACTCGATATTTCTCCAAATGGAGTACGCTGGGCTCGGTAGATTTCCAAGTATACTGGAGATTGGAACAGTACTTCGGCGGCACTCAATGGCGTAGTATGCTTGAAATAGTGGCTCTGAAGCAGCTTTACTCGCGATTGAGAAACACCCACAGTGTATCGCAATGATGCTCGAAATGTCCCATATAGGCCTACGTCTGTTTCCGGTTATTTTTATTTTGAAATTCAGTTCCTGACGGACGCCAAAAAAGCCAGAGATTATGGAATTAAACAAATAAATAAAAACAAGGATAATTGTGTGTTATTGTTGAGTAAATAACAGTGTGTTATTTAGAAAAGAATAACAATAATAATGATAAGAATGATGGATACATGGATCGTGTTAAAATCAATAGGCACGCAATGACTCTAAATAATAATGATCACACCACCAAACGCAGATTATAACTAAAGTAACGAACCTGTTTTGAAAATGTAAGAAGTAAAAGTACAGGTATTTGTGTTAAAAATGTAAGAAGTAAAAGTAAACAGTTGTCAGAAAAATAAGTAGTGGAGTAAAGTACTGATACCAGAAAAATGTACTTAAGTACAGTAACAAAGTATTTGTACTCCACTACTTCCCACCTCTGGCGCTTGACTATTATATTCTTGTCCTGAAAGTAATGGGAGTGTACCCATTTAAAAGACTCTAACAAAAGAGAGTTGGGTCTTTATTCACACAACGACTGAGATTACTATTATAACTGCAATTTTTTGGTATATGGGAACATGATAAACTTGAATTTATTTTATTTTATTCCAATACAGAAATAAAGTTATTAAACGTAACTTATACAGCTATTTCACTCAGACTTGTTTTGCGGTGGGCATTGTTAAAACTAGGGCTGTCAAGTTAACGCGTTAATAACGCGTTAACGCAAAAAAAAATTAACGCCACTAATTATTTTAACGCGATTAACGCATGTGTATTTTTTGTCCTCGGCCGCCGTAGTTTCAGAGCGCATCGAGTGTAAAATACCATCGACAAGCTGATGCTGACAGCCCCGCTCCTGCCGCCCGCTTGTGGCAGACCACACTTCCACGCTCACTGGCAGGCCCGGACTGGCCATCGGGAGGACCGGGAGGGAGTGTGTATGTGTGGCGCGACTCGCGCGAGCGAGGCACACCTACGTGTTGTTGTTAGCATCTGGTGCTAGCTAGCTGCGCTAACGGATATAAGGAGCTGTTTCAATGACATTTCGCCGACAACTGCGCCGAGCACTTGACTTTATGCAGGTAGCCAGACAGTGGGACATTGTACGAAAAGTCAGCGCAACATTATTGCAGCGTCCAGGCAGCTCCCATTCGAGCATATATGCCTTGAGCTGCACATAGCTCAACGATCCATCACAGTGTCTCCACACACACACACACACACACACACACACACACACACACACACACACACACACACACACACACACACACACACACACACACACACACACACACACACACACACACACACACACACACACACACACAGTATTATTGTATGAGAGAGGTTCCAGGTTGAATTGAGGCGAATATTTGTAATGTTCAGGTTGTTGTGTTTAATATTCATGAGAATATTTGTCATTGTTCAAATGATAATAAACAAACATATAAAGCATATTTGTCCACTCATATGTTGATAAGAGTATTAAAAACTTGAAAGATATCCCTCTAAGGTACATTTAGAACAGATAAAAAATGTGCGATTAATTTGCGATTAATCGCGATTAACTATGGACTATCATGCGATTAATCGCGATTAAATATTTTAATCGACTGACAGCCCTAGTTAAAACATAAAAATATCTTGTAAATAAACTCTTTGCATTTTGTATCTACGTAGAAGACTGACTCTTCTGTCATTTTTGTTAATGATAACGTTGTGTTCAGTAGTTTAAATGGTGTAATTACATGTTTATGTCATTGTCCATAATATAATAGCCTTCCCACATTGTGGTGTGTACCTCTACTTCATCTTAACTCTAAAATGAGAAACAAGAATTGAAGAAATATCATTTAAAACGGTTTTATTTTGTTTCAATATATTATAGAATGACAAGAAGTTAAGAGAAAGGATATAGTCTTTGATTTGACTGCTGCGCTCATCGTTGTGTAAGCATGTATGCAAGGCTGCCTCTGGGTGTAAATTATAGTGAGGTGCGTCATATGCCTTGCATTAGCTTAAAACTGTTCAAATGTATCTTTCTGTTTTCTTTTTTTTAATGATTGGCTGCAAAGGTAAAGCACAACATATCCAAAGCCATGTATATATAATATGGCTCAAACTATGTGTTCTCTACACAGCTATAGTGCTTAAGTTGATATTATAAACTTTTAATAAAATCATTTTCAATAGCACTGACGGATGGTAAAAGGTTGTTGATGAATGTTATAACTTGTGTATTTCTTTCAATTTCTTTTTTAAAGCAAAAGTTACTTTTTCTGTTACATGTCATCGGAGCCCATTTCGAAGCAGTGGGTGGTCCCCTGGCTGCCGAGAACCACTCCCTTGCACCGGTCCCCTCCCCTGCATTCCCCTCCTTCTCCTCACCAGGAGCCCTACCCAGCTCACTCTGACCACTTTGCTCAGCACAGAAGAGCAGCCACACAGAAAAAAAAGTTCAAATCAACTCAGAGCAGAGGAGGGAGGAGAGACGGGAGAGAAAACGCCCTGGAAACTTTGGTTGAGAAATAGGAAAAGAGTGACTGAATCCTAACAGACTGCAGAGCTGTGACTGGAAGAAGTGCTTTACTTGTGAGAAGGGGATAGGACACGTTTTCAAGGATGCTCAAGTTGGTGTGAGGCTTCTTGGGCGCAAAGACTGCGCACAGGTAAATATGCACTTTTTAAAAAGATTTAAGTTTTTCTTAAGAGTGTTTGTGAACTTTGTTGCTGGCTATGCTCTGTTTCCAATGTAATCTTGAAGAAAATGACCTAAAATGACTTGGTATAAGTTTAAGAAACTAAGTTTCAAAATCCAACATTCCTGTTATTTCTCAATAGGCACTTGTAGTCAGTCTGTGTATCCGTGCTAAGGTCACAGTGACTTAGTTCTATGTTATTATGTGTGTTTATCTTTTGAGGTGTACTATCAATTTTCCTAAAGGGAGGTTCCCCTAAAGGAAAGTTTTGTGAAGACAAAACGTGTATTATTGCTTTTTTGTAAGGGTGCAAACTCTCAGTGTTTTTTGTGAATATGATCATATGTTTTAAATACTGGTTTAAAACAGTGAAAGACAGGAGAAGTGGGTGTGTACCTTGGACCACCACATGAATGCAGAGGGCTAGTCTGGAGATGCGCACTTTCCTTTTCTTTTAACCCATTGTTTTTGGTAGAATATAGGGTATCTTCATATGATTTTAGTAAAGAAAAACGAGTTACCAAAAGTCACTCTTCTGGTGTAGTTTTTTTGAATATTGTGGAGCATGTCCTTTGAATACACATAATCTCTAGTGTTTGGGGTAATACATTTTTTATTCAGCAATAGAATCTTTCACTAACTAAATGAAACATTGTGTAAAAAGCAGCATAAAGTTAAAGAGTGGCGTTGTTTGCGCTTATGTTATCGTTCAGGTGTTTGCTTTATCTGTCCAACGCCCTTTTCTGAGGCTGTGCTGTTTAAAATGTAGGTAATTCTTCAAGCCTGCAGCAACAAGCTTGGGTGTGGATTCCTCTCTTTCACCTCCCTCCACCCCCGCCTTTTTTCCCCTCCCTCCCTTCTTGCTTTGCTGTCTCTTCACAGAGGCACACCCTTTATAAGCAAAAAAAAAAGAGGAAAAAAACCGTGTACATCCTGCAGACGGTTGTCGCAGTTGGTCCCTTTAAACACATTCAAGGTCCTTCATAGTGTATCCAGGGGGCCCCAGCTAAGTTTAAAGTACTGATCATAACTTTTTCTGCCTATGCACTGTGTCGTCATGTGCTGTATTTTTTTAATCAGTTTAATGGAACAATGAAAACATAGTCATATATGGGCATTTTCAATACTTTTGTGGAATGTGTCTGAAGGTTCTTTATATGATCAGTTTTTGGCGTACCTCTTTTCCAGCAAGTGTTATGTAAGAGAAAGTTGGAAACTGTAACTGCTGCTTTGTACTGAGGCATGTTTGTTTATTATGACTACCATATAAAAAACGTTTGAACAGAGAGAGATTTCTCTGTCTTTATTTTACCTTGGGTCTCTTAACCTGGGCACCCGGCCAGGGTGTGGAAGGGAGGAAGAAGGGGGGAGAGAGGAGAAGGAGAGAGGAGGAGGGGGAAGAGAGTGAGTAAGTGAAGGGGGATGGGCGGGGTGGTGTGCGAGGAGGGGAGTAATGGAATGTAGTGGTTTGGAAAGACAAGCTAATTGAAACCAGGTTTGAGGCAAAGAGGGGGAGTTTAGACTTCGCACTTGTGGCGAAAGAAAGACACGCATTTAATCTGCCCAAAAAGTTCTGCCTAACTTATAAACAACATCTTTCCAGGTGTCGTTCAAACTATAATCAGCACATACAGCCGGGCCTTTGTTTCGCATGATGTATTTCTTCAAGTTGGGAATAAGGTTTAGCAAAAAGCAGACAAGATGTAATCCTTTGTTTAATCTTGCCTGAAAGTCACATTTCTTGGTGTAGAGTTGCCTGTCCTCCATTTCCCTCTCCTGCCACACCCAAAAAACATGTCAGTGTTAATAAGAGCTGTTTTATGCGCTGCCCTGAACAGCCTTTTCTACAATTCACACGTAACTCATGTCGAGCGCCTAACGGTTGTAAATATCCTTCATTTCTCAAATAGCACCTGTCAAAGTGATTGATTGTGACAGCCTGCTTGAAGAGACAAATGGTGCCCCAGGGGTAAAGGTTTTTGTGTAATTAAAGCCCTAAATTATATTTTAGCATTTCAAAAAGTCCTGTTTTACTTGGTATATTTTAGGTGTAGAGTTGTGCTGCAAGAAAAAAAGGAATGGACTTTCGCAAACATAACAAAATAGACATAAAGCGCTGAACTGTTCCTGACTGCCTGCAGCTAAAATGCCTGTCGGTTAAGAGGGCCTCATCTTGGCCTGGAGCACATACTGTTTGTCTAAATACTTGCACTGTCTATGAATGCAACAATACAAAGGCTACATTATGTTGTTACCTCGTGCACTCTAAGAATATAGGAATTCAAAAAACCTTGCTGTGAACATCTTGAAGATGCTTCATTGCTCAGGTATTATAGCCAACATTGGCTGTGCACAGTGCCAGTCAAGGGGATTTTGTTGCACTTGCCACTCATGTGACAAACAGCATCTTTACCATCCCGAAGAAAAGGACATACCTCATGACTGTTTGGAGTCTTAATTTGATAATGTAAAGATATTTTTCACAGAAGTACTATAAATTCTTGCACTTTTGAACGGCAGTACAAGCGAGAGGAGATGTGTTACTCAGGCGTGCCAGTGTGAAACGGAAAGAAACTGGTCTCTAGCACACTTCCTCTGTCACTTCCTCATTGGTTTGTTGAGTTGGTGCTTGAAAGTAGGGACAACAAGGAGAGGCAAAAAAGGGAGGTAGGTATTGTGAATAAAAAAAGGGAGGGTGATTGCAATCAAACTGTAGCTTTTGTTCACACTTGGTATTCAATTAGAAGCAACGCTTGGCTTTCGGATATCCTGCAGTTCCACTAGACTCCCTGAAGTCCCACCCAGGGGATTGGTTGAATAAAACAATAGCACATTTGCAACTGTTCTAGTGAGGGAGCGGCAAATAAACAGCTAACTGAAGTGTGTGATTTGAGAAAGACTTTCTTGGCAATCCACCAAGCACTCCCTTCTCATCCATCCAATGCAGGTCTGGAATGTTTCAGCATGTCCTCAGTTTACTCTATGGAGCACCTATCATTAGTTTTGCTCGCTTTGTTGTTGTGAAATAGTGATTTGAGAAGTATGAGTCATCCCAAGTCCCACATTATACCTCTGTGAGTCACACCCATACACATGCATGCAATTCAGACTTTTTTGTTGTAGCTGTTTGGTGGGGCTCCTGCAATCATGGGATTTAGAAAGGGTGTGAATCTTTCGTCACTGCTCAGGCAGACGCCTGCTTTTCGAGTCCATCCAAAAACATTCCATCTTACATGAAGTTTGCCTTGCTGCACGGTCGACCTGACCTTCACTAATTGTCTAACTTACACCCCAGTCCTTACAAACACTGTTATATGGCCTTGCACAAGGAATGACACGCAGCGTCTGTTACAACAACTCCATTTAGAGGCAGACAACATTTGGGGCAACAAGGCATGGAATGTAAATGTATAAAATTCCTACAGCTTTGTTTAAATGTTATGTATAAGATAAGATAAGATAAGATAAGATAAGATAAGATAAGATAGTACTTTATTGATCCCAAATTGGGAAATTGTTTTTGTTACAGCTACTTATCAACTTTGCACTTCTCTGGTCAAGTTGAAATGTTACGAATTAATACATATACTTATACTGTGAATCAAGCTCCTCACAGGAAGTCTTATGTCTATATACATTCTGCTGCTAGGTTGCCATGTAGCCCTCCTCTTAACCTGCTTGCCTCCTGCTCCATGAATGGGCTTGCATTTGTTCTTGTTCAAACAGCAGCTGTAGAATAAAATTGGGTAGAAGTTGGGCAGTTGTATGGCACGGAGTATGTAAGGTTGCTATGGATATCTGCTAACCTGATGTGATATGTTATTTAATGTTACTGTTTAAACGTCACTCTCCTCTTTATCTCTCGGGTTTTACTAGATATTTCACCTGTCCGGGATCACTAGTCATTTCAGAACTACAGCTAAATCCAAAATGTTTTGTTTCATTTTTGCGAAAAAAGGTACTGTTGTCTTCTTTTATATAGCTCAAGATGAAATACAATGTCTCAGTGGGATGTAGAGGCTTGTAGTGGTTTATGATGCATTCGAGGTTTCCCAAAACTCCCCTGTGAACATATTAGATTATACCTCCTTGGATGTCTTAGGGCGTGATAGAAAACAAATATATATCATTAATCTTTTTCTTACAGTCTCATACTGTACGGTATAAAATGGTTCTTTTACTTTTAAGATATAGTAGCCTCTCAACGCAATCCTCGGTTCACATTTTGATCTTGTTAAAGCAAAATAAGAGCATTTAAAGAGTTTTCTTCAGTTTTCCATTTTGTGCACAACTCCTGCCAAAGTCACAATGGTTTAATCAGCAGTAGGCCAAGTTGGCGTCACTGGGTATGCTTTGGTCTTATGCAGGACTTGTGGTTTGGTTTAGTGCTATGTGGACTATGAAGTAAAGAAAATATCTATTTGCATTCCTTTCACATGTGTCACACATGCATGTCCTGTCTGCAATTTTTAGGGAAGAGTGAAACTAAGATAGGGCCTACTTTGTCTCTGTTTGTGTATCTTCTGCATCAAACTAAATTGAAGAGAGAGGAACAGGGAGTCCATTCTGTTTTGAAAGCACAACTGATTAGGTCACTGCTCTTCTCTCTCCATCCCTCTCTGCACTGAGGCCTTTTCAGTTGTTTGTAATCAAATTGTATCACTCACCAACACAGCTGTGCCTGATTCACTTACATTTGAGCTTTAATCATTGTCACACAACTACGTATTTCTGTTCAACAAATTGATTGGATTTGGCAATCAGCCTGATGCATAGACTACAGCCACTTTGATCAGTTCTGTGAGTGACCTACTTAAACACAAACTATGACCGTCAAACAGTACAGGAATGTGCGCTCAAGGCAGAGTAGAAGCAACAAAGCCGTGGGGTGAAGCCTAAATGTTAAATGTACAATAGTGAGAACTGTTGTTGCATCTACCTTATGCACCAGTTAAAGCCAACACAAATAATGACAATGATGATTGTGATGGTGACATACAGTAGATGATGAAAGTGGGACCCGTACAGCCAAACCAGTGTTGCTTCTCAGCACTATTTAAATGTATTTTTAGGGTGCCTTTAAATATGCATATCTGACTGGATGTGGTGTTCTTGTTTATTTGAGCATAACCTGGAGTTTGGGGGGTAAATTCAGGGGGGTGAGCACTCAGGCAGGGAGCAGGGTGGGCAGCATAGAATGAGGCTAGAGTCAGAGAGAAAGAGGACATTTCTTTGGAGTTAGTCACTGAGGGGAGAGGTTGGGCTCCCTTCCAGCTGGCCTGACGGCTCTATCAAGGAATGTGTGTGACTGGAGGCCTGGGTGGGGCTGTGCACTTAGCTGCTCCCTCTGCAAGCAAAGCACAGAGGCAAAGCGACGTGATCCACCTCATGGACTGCTGATTGGTATTTCTGCCCTTCACCACGTTATGTATTTGCTTTCTCCACTGTTGGGGACCACCCCTTTCCTGACTCCTGACATGATAGTTGCCTGTTTGACTGCAAGTGTATTTGTGTGTGGCCTTACCAAGGTATTGAGAGCAGAAGTTGGGGAAACCTCTTTTGAACATAATGTCTGGAAGTTATTGCAAATCTCATTTATCAGCAAATCTCACAAAAATAGTCAAAAGCATCTAATTTACAGTCAGAGATGTCATGTTCTTATATGTTGTATGTCAGGGACTACGGATGGAAATGAGCTCAAAGCTAAAATCCGGCACACTTGAAGCATTATTTGTCTTAAGTGTTCATTAATGTGCATTGTCCCTATTCAAATAAACGATTAAATGAAAATGAAATGAGAGATCTCAAATACCCTTTATCTAATTTTGTTTTGGGCACCACTTATCCATGTGGATTCTATCTCACATTACCTGACTGATACTTGACAAAAATCTATTGTGTAATTAAGTCAGCTCTTTACCTGAAGCCTTGGCCGTCTGATTAATATGTCTCTGTAATAGGAGCATGGGTTGGAGAGTGTACACAGCTGCTGTGGCGCATGTCTCCCTATACAAACATAAAGACTTACATGTACTAGCAGGCATTTATCAAAGTTATCTACCATATATTTCAGTAAAGGACTTGTTAAAAAAATCAACAACAAATCAGTCTTAGGCTGAACACCAATCTCAATATCTTTGTTTGATGAGCATGTCTACTTTCTGTCTATTGCGTTTAGCGTTAGGCATAGACATTTGTTTCAGGGTATCACAACCACCGTTATTTGGCATAGTTTTCACAAAGTAATCAGCAATTAAGCTTATTGAACATGTGGGGCTAGGAGGGATGATGATGGGCTTGGAGAGCCTGTGTCAAAATATCTTTTTTCTTCTGAGGGACATGTTCTCACTGGTCGATGCCTGTCTGTACACACATCAAGTCTGGTTCTGTTTTCATGCAGACTGACAAAGAGAAGGCTTTGTTTTACAATATGCAGGTGGGTTGAAGCAATAATCCTTGTCAGTCCGGTAAAATGTTGGGCTTGTCATAGCGAGTAAAATTAAGATTGAGTTGGTATGCAAGATGACACTTGAAATCTAAACCATGTCTGCAGTTGCAACATTTTCACTTAATTCGCTGATATGATTGTTGTAATTCTACATTGGTAATTGTGGGGAAATTCACAAGCATCTTACATTTCCTTTTTACATTGCTATTGGACTGGATTTGCATCTTCTTAACTTTCAATATGAAATGTTATGAGACTGAACTGTATCCGTGATAGAGAATGTGTTAGTGTCTTCTCATTTGCAGAGGTGAGGGCCACACCAAAAGAGGGAGCTGGATTTATTTACTTAAAGGGAGTCTTTCACATAATTGCTTTCCAGGGTCGATACTGCTACTACTGTTGGTTAATTATTGAAGCATCTGAAGGCTCTGAATGGTTATGGGAAGGTTCATTGAGCACGTAAACTAAAATGCAGAGAGTAAAATCCCAAATGTAACCACCGTACATGGGGTTTTGTTTGTCATGTTGGGACAATAGACTGTATAAAATAGGTTGATTCACACCTCTTAAAGCAACAATGACTTGTGAGGAATATGTTTCGTTATCTGTCAAACATGCGAGTGAAATGTTATGTGTTATTGCGTAAGAGAGCTGCATGATGGAATCAGAGTAGACTTGTTTTGCATGATAACAGTAAAAGTTCTTGTTCTTTTCATTTAAATCGTGTTTTATCATATTATTTAAATTCCAATCCTGTTTTTGTTTTTCTGTCTACAGAAGCCAAGAGAACAAGAACCACAGCATCTGACTGTAGGCCTTGGCCTTGCTTGAGCAATCCAAGGTGAGAGGAGACTTACATTACTTATCACCTTTCACTCTAATCCAAGCCTATCTGGTCAGTGTCACGGTGCCACCTAAGAACAGCGTTGTATTATGTGGCGAGACACCAAAACCTCTGTTGGAATGTTTTTTGCAAAGCCTCCTTTGAACCTGGAAGGTCATATCACTACCATTCAGCTGTGAAAGGCCTGCCTTATGGAAACCTGACACTTCTTCTGCTCCCTGTGCCTCCTCTTTCCCGCCCTCCTTCCTCCCCCCCACCACCTGTTCTGCTTGAATCCCTTTCTCCTTCTTATGACACAAACACTGCCATGCTCAAACAGTTTTAACTGTTTGTATTTGGCAGGTCTGGATGATGTATTCCTTAAGAGGGGAATGATAGCAGTATAAGCTATACCAAACCTAAACCAATAGGCCAGTGGCAGGCTGTGACCGAGGCATACCCAGGAAAGCTCTGTGGGCGCACTCTAATAGAAAGTATTGCCTGATCGACTGTCTTCACATCCCCCCTTGCTCAACCCACATTCCAGGCTTTAATAGAATTTGATGGATAAACAAGTTCATCTGTTTCTGTTGGTTCCCTTTAATGCTTCTTGGCAAAATTATCATTTTGTTCGATCCTCAAATATGCTTTTGGTGAAATCAATAATCAAATCAAAAGACATATGACATCAGGTATCTATCTCAGGCATTTCAGTCAAATTAAAGGCTAAGAATAGAGGACTGGTTCATGCTCATGTTGCCTGATTGCTCTGAGTGACAGACTGTCTGCCTGTCTTATGATCCCAAGAACAGAGGCTTACTTATTTAGCATCTGTTTACACAATTCAAAATTCACATCTAATCCTATGATCTTTGTCAAGTTAATTGTTCCTCTCTGCTCTATTTCCAAAATAGCTTATACTATGTTAGGGTAATTTCTAAACTTTTCTTCATAGGAATTGCCCTACTTGAGACTGATAAAGAATGAAGACAGAAAGTGAGGTCTTAATATTGAGGATGCCCTCTGCACAGCTGTTGAAAGTTGCTGTTACGACTTCAGTGATAACCCTGTGTTGTCATTCTCCGTTGGCTGTTTTCTCCCGCTTCTTACTTTAAACTTGTGTGCTAACATTCCACAGAGCAGTTTCACAACCATTCCTTTCACTTTCTTACTTACTATCTTGCTCACTTTCATTTGTTCTACCATTTCCTCTCTATCTCCCTCCCTCTCTCCTTCCTTCCCTCCTATGTTGCCCAGCCCCTCCCTGCAGATAGCTGCCAGAAATATGTCAAAGCTGTGAGAACAAGGACAGCTCAAATAGTTAATTCTCGATCATACAAGCCTCAGAGCGATTGTAAAAATAAGAGAGCTGTATCCTGAAGTTTTCCCTGTTGAATCAGAAAATAGTTTTCTCCCCCTTGGTATTAGGGATTTTTTGTAAACACATTAATGTTGCCTTTCACTTCCCTTTTTGACATTTTATTTTTCAAAAACACTTAATCCTGCCACTTATATTAATTGCCCCCTCTCAAACTGAAGCTGAATAGTTTTGTGTTAATTCAAGATCATGTGAACATTTTTTTCAGATGTTCTTGTCTGTTTTTAGTTAATGTATGAATAGAGGTGGTGGATATATACAATGGGCAGCATTGGTTCAAACCAGTCCAAATGCTCTTAGGCTGAGATACAGGCCTGGTTAAGAAACTATAACTGGCAGGTTCAGTTGTGGAATTTGATCTGCATGAGTTAATTGGGTAAAGCTGGGTCTTTGGCACGGCAAACCTTGTTTGTCCCTTCCTTGCTCACACATTTCAGCTATGTTGGATTCATAACATGGTACGGATACTGTAAGTCTTGAGGTCGTGACAGTTTCATGTTACTGGCTTCAGTCAGGACACAGTGACAGAGACAATGAGAGAGAAAGAGGAGGAAGAAGATCAGGTTGTGGATGCCTGTGAGTGGTTGGCGTCATGCTTGGCATAAACACCATCCCAGCTCCGGTGTTATCACTATCAGTGGACTTGGCTCTCATTATTCAGTCTTGACAGTGAGCAAAAGGCTATTTTAGAGAGCAGGGTTATTACTTCATAGCATTACATGGATTCTCCAGTATTTAAAGGACCACTCTTTTTTTGAATTCCTTTGTTCCCAACATCATGTTGTCTTACAAAACGGTATTCTAACTTCAGTGAATAGGTTAGGGATTTGTGTCCTATACTGTTTTAATCAGGTTGTTTACTGTGATGCAAATAGCATGGAAAACATTTCTACATTTGTGTTAAAAGTAGTATTTTTTCAGATTGACATTTGAAAAGACAGAAAGTCTTTGTTCAGACCTTACATTAGTGTTTCAGATCCAGCAGTTTAGTCATCTTTCTTAGACTTTATTCGTTTTATTTTGTAAGTGTATGTAAATAAAAAAGTGTTTGCAAATATGGCTGATTACAGACAAATATTCAGTTCTTTGAAACTTTCTGAATGGCTGCACATTTTGATTTGGTAAATTGCAACAGTCAGCAACAGGATGATTTCTTCAATTGAAATGACAGTTGAATCACATTCCTGTCAGTGTCTTATGGGGCAATATATTTCAGTGTTTAAGTACAGTCAAATATTGACTGGTTGGTGTTGGTATGATGAACTAGAACATTTGATCAATGCTGAAGCAGTGGAAGAAAAGAACGACCTTGGTTTTTAAACGAACATTTTAGGAAAAATAATATATGATCTGTGGGATCAATGTAAACCACTTTGCACAATAGTATTTGCCAAATGAATGCAAATAAAAACATGCCAACCATTGCAAGCTAGGTAGAAACACATGGCTTAGACAGCTTTGTTTAATTGAAGGTGTGGGTTGAGAAGAGTTTGGTAATAATAAAACAATGGGTTGTCTGTTCCAAGAGCAGGGTGGGTAGAACTGGTCAACATTTTTGAAAAGGCCGGTCTGAGAATTATATAAACAAACCTTAATATCTTGAAATTCTTGCATATGTGTTTACTATAGCCCACATCATAATATCAGTAATAGTAAACCTGAGCATGTCTGTAAATCTGCTTGAATTATTACATTATTGTTTCCTTACTAAATAGAATGATGCATCATGGCCAGAAATACACTATCTACTGAACTTAATTACAAACCAAGCATTATATGTTCAATTATTTTTGCATTGCTGATTACCTTGAAAATGATCAATGTTGGGAAGTTGTGGTAGTCATTGAGATACATATATGGTCAACCTAGATTAAAACTGAAACATAGCTGTCATTACTAAGCAGAGTAAGAAGATTGATGTCAATTGAATGTGTTGATGAGATCGCATGTACAAACATGCTGCTGTATGAGTTACTGTGTATTCATGAGCATTTATGTATGTTTTCATAAAGCAAGGCAGCTTAACTATTATTGTTCTCTCTATTGACATTAGAGCTTGGGGTTAGGTGCAGTATTTGGCTGCTTTCCTTAGGGCAGGGTGTGGTCTGACTCAACCCAAATGTCCAAATCACAAAGCACCCAGTAGGAAAGGGCTTGATGGTTTCTAAAGGGTCTGAAATAGTTTTACCACCATCTAGTGTTCACCATAGGGTCATACAAGACAAAACAACTCACATTAATGTTAAATATAGGATTTAGCTTGATTATGATCTGGAATAAAATACTGACAAAAAGTCATGCAATGCTTGTAATTACCTTATAATTAATGATTATTATTGTCTTTTTCTGTCTATGCAGGAAAACAAAGATTGAGTTTTCAACACACCGGGACTATAGAGGAAAGACAAATCAAGGTATTTTATAAAGTTAAAGTCACAATAAATCCTTTGTATTTCTATAGCTTATCCTGTATACTTTTCTTGCCAACTACAATGTTTGTTTAGTCTCAGATCTCTTATTTGATGGTTATGTCAACAGATGGCTGAAGAGGAGGAGACCAGAGAGGTGCTCTTTCAAGATTGGGAGGGTCCAGACAAATCTGGCTTTACAATTGAACAGACAGGTGGAGAGATCTTTGTTGGGGAGGTTAAAGGAGAGTCACCTGCAGCACGTTCTGGAAAAGTATATGAAGGTAGCACTTTCTCCTTTTTTGTGTGAATTGGTGTGAATTAAGATTGTTCTCACCTACAAGTTGTTTGTGTTCTTAACAGACATTTATTCTGCCGTCTCTACAAAATTCATAGGTGACCAGATTGTCGGCGCCACAGTATACTTTGATAACATGAGCTCAGAAGAAACAGCTGAGCTACTAAAGACATTGAACCGTCACAAAGTTGGACTGAAGCTGCAAAACAAAGGAGACAAATCCCCTTGCTGCTCGCCCTTGAGCACACCATGTCGTTCACCAATCGGCACCCTGACATGGGAAGGAAAGACCCGGTTTGGAGGTTCCACTCCAGACATCATCCTTGTAAATTATACTTTTTTTAAATGATTTTATTTTAATTACACAGATTTGTTTATTGGGAAGCAAAATACAAACAAATACATTTGTACAAATGTATTTTACATATTATGTTAACATTTCTATATTATATAACATCCTGTCTTTTATATCAACAGGGTGGGGAGGATGAAGACTACAAAAGAATATACACAAAAAAGATTAAACCCAGGCTGAAGTCTGAAGACCTTGCAGAAGGCGTAGATGTTCGCACAGAGCGCCATAGCAGCACAAGCAGCGATGGAAGCACAATTACTACCGTCACCCGCCGCATCACGACCTACACTGTGGATATGCCGGGCGGCATAAGTGAGCAACTTGAACTTTCAAGCCCAGAGTTCAAGGGGCTAAAGCAAGAATCTGGTGATGGCTCTTCTCATACCATAATCTCACATGGCAGCCCTGCAGGTAAAGTGGGAGCAGAGGGGAACGTTTTTGACTCAAGCAATGTCTCTTACACTGGGCCACAAGTTGACTCCATAGAGACACGCTGGGGCACTGGGGGAGTTCAGACCACAAGAACTTCAGGAGAGGTAGAAGGTCTCAGATTTAAAGGGCCTAACTTTGGAGGATCAGGGAGCCAGGGGGGCTGTGAGATTTCAAGTCGGAGTGGAGAGCAAGTTGATGGAGGCATGCAGGTGTTAGGAACAAGCATGACAGTAAGAGACAGCGCAAACACCGATAAGCATGTTGCAATAGGAGGGTTCGGGGGTGGAGATGAGAATGGAGGGTTAACTAATCTGTCTTCACCAGGAAAGAGCATGAAGATTTCGACTTCATCCATGTTTAAAACACAGGAGGGAAGTGTTGACACCAGTTTAGGTGAGAAGAAAAAGTTTAAGGTATCTGAAATCAGTTACCAGCAGGCAAAGGGATCAGGCCGTTTGGACAATTCGAATGTCCGACTTGAAGGAGGTTCCATATGTGTTGATAATGTATTGAGCGATAGCAGGATAGGAGGATCGGCAATACAAAAAGGCAATGTCACCTCTGGATTTTCATCAGGGCCAGGAAAGATTTCAATGGCAGGGGTGGATGTCGACCTTACAGGTTCAAAGTTGAAAGGCGAGCTTGATGTTGAACTGCCAAGCACAAAGGTTCAAATTCCATCCCTATCTGGGCCAAATAAAGATGTAAACCCAAGGGGTTCCAAAGTAGAGGGGAATATTGATGTTACAGTGACTGAGGGAGGAATAAAGACAGACAACATAGACATTAAAAGTCCCACTTTTAATATTAAGGAGAAAGAAAGAGATTCAAAAATGCCTCAGATAAAGATATCATCATTTGGAGTCAAGGGAACAAAAGTTGGTGTAAAAACCTCTGGGGTTGACATTGAAGGACCAGAAATTGATGGTGGGAAGTCTGATGTAAAAGTGGAAGGAGCGAAAATCAAGATGCAATCATTTGGCTTCACAGGTCAGAAGGTGGAAGCTTCAGATGTTGATGTAAAACTTGCCAAACCTGAAATTGATGTCAGGGTACCTGAGGTTGATATCAACGCATCCAAAGTTAATGTTAAAAGCCCATATGTAGACATTAATGCTTCCAAAGTGGATATTGACTATGAGGGACCTCGAGGTGGATTTAACCAGTCGAAATGTACAATGCCATCCATTGGCATGAAAAGTCAGGAACTGGAAGCTCCCAAAATAAAAGGGAATGTGGACGTGTCAGTGCCAAAGATATTTGGGTTGAAAGGTCCAAAACTGGAAGGTCCAGACGTTGATGTTGACCTTCCTAAAGCTAACATTGTTGTGAAAGCACCTGGAGTTGACATTAAAGGTCCACAGGTTGATATTGAAGGGCCAAAGGGTGGATTTGAAATGCCAAAAACCAAAATGCCATCATTTGGCCTCAAAGGTCCAAAAGTGGAGGGTCCAGATGTTGATGTTAACCTTTCTAAAGGTAACATTGATTTGAAAGCACCTGGAGTTGACATTAAAGGTCCACAGGTTGAAATGCCTAAATTCAAAATACCGTCCTTTGGCGTAAAAACTCCAAATGTTGAAGGATCAGAGGGTGATGTCACCCTCTCAAAAGTTGACATTGACATGAAAGGACCAGATTTTGACGACAAAAGTACAAGTGGTAAAATCAGAGGACCAGCATTCAAACTGCCCAGCATTTCTGGACCAAAAATTCCAGATGTGGATTTACACCTCAAAGGTCCCAAAGTCAAGGGGGATGTAGATGTGTCATCTTCAAAAGTTGAAGGAGACATTTTTGATATTAACCTGAAAGGCCCTAAAATCAAAGGGGATGTGAACGTGTCAGTGCCAAAGATATCAGCTGACATACAAAGACCTGAAGTTAAAATCAAAGGTCCAGGAGTTGACATTGAAGGGCCAAAGGGTAGATTTGAAATGCCAAAACCCAAAATGCCATCATTTGGGTTAAAAGGTACAAAAGTGGAGGGTCCAGACGTTGATGTTAACCTTCCTAAAGCTGACATTGATGTGAAAGCACCTAAAGTTCACATTGAAGGTCCACCAATTGATTTTGGAGGAGTAGATGTTGATGTTGATGGCCAAAAAGGAACATTCAAAATGCCGAAAATCCAAATGCCATCATTTGGCTTGAAAGGTTCAAAAGTGGAGGGTCCAGACATTGATATTAAACTTCCCAAAGCTGAAATTGATGTTAAAGGACCCAAAGTTGACCTCAAAGGACTAGATGTCAATGTTGAAGGTCCTGATGCAAAATTAAAAGGATCCAAAATCAATCTGCCCGGCATTTCTAGACCGAAAGTTCCCATGCCAGATGTGGATATCAACCTCAAAAAACCCAAACTCAAAGGCGATGTGGACATGTCAATGCCAAAGATAAAAGGAGACATAAACAGACCTGAAGTTGACATCAAATGTCCAGATGTTGACATTGAAGGGCCAAAGGGTAGATTTGAAATGCCTAACATCAAAATGCCATCGTTTGGCTTGAAAGGTCCAAAAGTGGAGGGTCAAGACATTAATATTAACCTTCCCAAAGCTGATATTGATGTTAATGCCCCTCACTTGGATATTAAAGGAGGTCACAAATTAAAAATGCCAACCATGTCAGGACCAAATCTCTCGATGCCAGATGTTGATTTGACCCTGAAAGGCCCCAAACTCAAAGGCGATATGGACATGTCAATGCCAAAGATAAAAGGAGACATACAAACGCCTGAAGTTGACATTACAGGTCCAGCGGTTGATATTGAAGGGACACAGAGTAGCTTTAAAATGCCTCACATCAAAATGCCATCATGGAACATCAAAGGTTCCAAGTGTGAAGGTCCAGAAGTTGATATAAACCTCCCTGAAGCGAACATTGATGTTAAAACACCTGATGTTGACATTAAAGGTCCAGCAGTTGATGTTGAAGGGCCAAAAGGTGGCTTTGAAATGCCGAAAATCAAAATGCCATCATTTGGCTTGAAAGGACCAAAAGTGGAGGGTCCAGACATTAATATTAACCTTCCCAAAGCTGAAATTGATGTTAATGCCCCTCACTTGGATATTAAAGGACCAGATGTCGACATTGAAAGTCCAAGTGGTAAAATCAAAGGTCACAAATTCAAAATGCCAACCATTTCAGGACCGAATCTCTCGATGCCAAATGTTGATTTTAACCTGAAAGGCCCCAAACTCAAAGGCGATGTGGACATGTCAATGCCAAAGATAAAAGGAGACATAAAAACACCTGAAGTTGACATCAATTGTCCAGATGTTGACATTGAAGGGACAAAGAGTAGCTTTAAAATGCCTAACATCCAAATGCCATCATGGAACATCAAAGGTCCAAAGCTTGAAGGTCCAGAAGTTGATATAAACCTTCCTGAAGCGAACATTGATGTTAAAACACCGGATGTTGACATTAAAGGGCCCAACATAAAGGGAGATCTGGATTTCTCCGTTCCAAAGATTAAGGGTAACATCAAATCTCCCAAGATGGATATTGAAGGACCAGAAGTTGACATTGATGGCGACAAAGGAAGATTCAAAATGCCTACATTTAAAATGCCATCCTTTGGGTTGAAAGGGCCACATGCTGAAGGACCAGACATTGATGTCAGCATCCCAACAGCTGAAATTGATGTTAATGCGCCACACTTGGATATTAAAGGACCAGATGTCGACATTGAAAGTCCAAGTGGTAAAATCAAAGGTCACACATTCAAAATGCCAACCATTTCAGGACCAAATCTCTCCATGCCAAATGTTGATTTTAACCTGAAAGGCCCCAAACTCAAAGGTGATTTGGACATGTCAATGCCAAAGATAAAAGGAGACATAAAAACACCCGATGTTGACATTAAAGGTCCGGCGGTTGATGTTGAAGGGCCAAAAGGAGGCTTTGAAATGCCGAAAATCAAAATGCCATCGTTTGGCCTGAAAGGTCCAAAAGTGGAGGGTCCAGACATTAATATTAACCTTCCCAAAGCTGATATTGATGTTAAAGCGCCTGACTTGGACATCAAAGGACCAGGTTTTGACATTGAAAGTCCAAGTGGTAAAATCAAAGGACATACCTTCAAAATGCCAACCATTTCAGTGCCAAACATCTCCATGCCAAATGTTGATTTTAACCTGAAAGGCCCCAAACTCAAAGGCGATGTGGACATGTCAATGCCAAAGATAAAAGGAGACATAAAAACACCTGAAGTTGACATCAAATGTCCAGATGTTGACATTGAAGGGACAAAGAGTGGCTTTAAAATGCCTAACATCCAAATGCCATCATGGAACATCAAAGGTCCAAAGTTTGAAGGTCCAGAAGTTGATATAAACCTTCCTGAAGCGAACATTGATGTTAAAACACCGGATGTTGACATTAAAGGGCCCAACATAAAGGGAGATCTGGATTTCTCCGTTCCAAAGATTAAGGGTAACATAAAAGCTCCCAAGATGGATATCGAAGGACCAGAAGTTGACTTTGATGGCGACAAAGGAAGATTCAAAATGCCTACATTCAAAATGCCATCCTTTGGGTTGAAAGGTCCACATGCGGAAGGACCAGACATTGATGTCAGCATCCCAACAGCTGATATTGGTGTTAATGCACCTCACTTGGATATTAAAGGACCAGATGTCAACATTGAAAGTCCAAGTGGTAAAATCAAAGGTCACACATTCAAAATGCCAACCATTTCAGGACCAAATCTCTCAATGCCAAATGTTGATTTTAACCTGAAAGGCCCCAAACTCAAAGGCGATGTGGACATGTCAATGCCAAAGATAAAAGGAGACATAAAAACACCTGAAGTTGACATCAAATGTCCAGATGTTGATATTGAAGGGACAAAGAGTAGCTTTAAAATGCCTCACATCAAAATGCCATCATGGAACATCAAAGGTTCCAAGTGTGAAGGTCCAGAAGTTGATATAAACCTTCCTGAAGCGAACATTGACGTTAAAACACCTGATGTTGACATTAAAGGTCCAGCGGTTGATTTTGAAGGGCCAAAAGGTGGCTTTGAAATGCCGAACATCAAAATGCCATCATTTGGTTTGAAAGGATCAAAAGTGGAGGGTCCAGACATTAATATTAACCTTCCCAAAGCTGAAATTGATGTTAATGCGCCACACTTGGATATTAAAGGACCAGATGTCGACATTGAAAGTCCAAGTGGTAAAATCAAAGGTCACAAATTCAAAATGCCAACCATTTCAGGACCAAATCTCTCAATGCCAAATGTTGATTTTAACCTGAAAGGCCCCAAACTCAAAGGTGATTTGGACATGTCAATGCCAAAGATAAAAGGAGACATAAAAACACCTGATGTTGACATTAAAGGTCCAGCAGTTGATGTTGAAGGGCCAAAAGGTGGCTTTGAAATGCCGAAAATCAAAATGCCATCGTTTGGCCTGAAAGGTCCAAAAGTGGAGGGTCCAGACATTAATATTAACCTTCCCAAAGCTGATATTGATGTTAAAACGCCTGCCTTGGACATCAAAGGACCAGGTTTTGACATTGAAAGTCCAAGTGGTAAAATCAAAGGACATACCTTCAAAATGCCAACCATTTCAGGACCAAATCTCTCGATGCCAGATGTTGATTTTAACCTGAAAAGCCCCAAACTCAAAGGCGATGTGGACATGTCAATGCCAAAGATAAAAGGAGACATACAAACACCTGAACTTGACATCAAATGTCCAGATGTTGACATTGAAGGGACAAAGAGTGGCTTTAAAATGCCTAACATCCAAATGCCATCATGGAACATCAAAGGTCCAAAGTTTGAAGGTCCAGAAGTTGATATAAACCTTCCTGAAGCGAACATTGATGTTAAAACACCGGATGTTGACATTAAAGGGCCCAACATAAAGGGAGATCTGGATTTCTCCGTTCCAAAGATGAAGGGTAACATAAAATCTCCCAAGATGGATATTGAAGGACCAGAAGTTGACTTTGATGGCGACAAAGGAAGATTCAAAATACCTACATTTAAAATGCCATCCTTTGGGATTAAAGGTCCACATGCTGAAGGACCAGACATTGATGTCAGCATCCCAACAGCTGATATTGATGTTAATGCGCCACACTTGGATATTAAAGGACTAGATGTCGACATTGAAAGTCCAAGTGGTAAAATCAAAGGTTCCACATTAAAAAAGCCAAGGATTTCAGGGCCGAACATCTCCATGCCAGATGTTGATTTTAAGCTGAAAGGCCCCAAACTCAAAGGTGATGTGGACAAGTCAATGACAAAGATAAAAGGAGTCATAAAAACACCTGAAGTTGAAATCAATGCTCCAGCGGTTGATATTGAAGTGCCAAAGAGTGACTTTAAAATGCCTAAAATTGAACTTGAGGGACCAGATGCTACAATTGACGTGCCAGAAATTGGCGGGAAGAAAAGTAAATTTAAAATGCCAAAGTTTGGATTTAAGAGCCCTAAGATAAAGACCCCGGAAACCAATGTTGAAATGGTAAAAGGGGATATCAACATCAAAGGGAAATCTGGTAGCTATGAAGGTTTTGATTCTAACCTTGGATTGACTGGTCCGAAAACTAAAGGATCCAAATTCAAGATGCCTAAATTTGGTTTCAAAGGCCCCAAAATTGAAATGCCTGAGGTTGATATTAATCTTCCCAAAGCTGGCATTGATATTACAACTCCAAATGTTGAAAGTGAAGGACCAGATGTTAAAATGAAGGGAACAAAACTGAAAATGCCAACCATCTCAGGAACAAACATGGACATGCCAGATGTTGATTTTAACCTGAAAGGCCCCAAAATCAAAGGCAATTTGGACATGTCAATGCCAAAGATAAAAGGAGACATACAAACACCTGATGTTGACATTAAAGGTCCAGCGGTTGATGTTGAAGGGCCAAAAGGTGGCTTTGAAATGCCGAAAATCAAAATGCCATCATTTGGCTTGAAAGGACCAAAAGTGGAGGGTCCAGACATTAATATTAACCTTCCCAAAGCTGAAATTGATGTTAATGCCCCTCACTTGGATATTAAAGGACCAGATGTCGACATTGAAAGTCCAAGTGGTAAAATCAAAGGTCACAAATTCAAAATGCCAACCATTTCAGGACCAAATCTCTCGATGCCAAATGTTGATTTTAACCTGAAAGGCCCCAAACTCAAAGGTGATGTGGACATGTCAATGCCAAAGATAAAAGGAGACATAAAAACACCTGAAGTTGACATCAATTGTCCAGATGTTGACATTGAAGGGACAAAGAGTGGCTTTAAAATGCCTAACATCCACATGCCAACATGGAACATCAAAGGTCCAAAGTTTGAAGGTCCAGAAGTTGATATAAACCTTCGTGAAGCGAACATTGATGTTAAAACACCGGATGTTGACATTAAAGGGCCCAACATAAAGGGAGATCTGGATTTCTCCGTTCCAAAGATTAAGGGTAACATAAAATCTCCCAAGATGAATATTGAAGGACCAGAAGTTGACGTTGATGGCGACAAAGGAAGATTCAAAATGCCTACATTTAAAATGCCATCCTTTGGGTTGAAAGGTCCACATGCTGAAGGACCAGACATTGATGTCAGCATCCCAACAGCTGATATTGATGTTAATGCGCCACACTTGGATATTAAAGGACCAGATGTCGACATTGAAAGTCCAAGTGGTAAAATCAAAGGTCACACATTCAAAATGCCAACCATTTCAGGACCAAATCTCTCCATGCCAAATGTTGATTTTAACCTGAAAGGCCCCAAACTCAAAGGTGATTTGGACATGTCAATGCCAAAGATAAAAGGAGACATACAAACACCTGATGTTGACATTAAAGGTCCAGCGGTTGATGTTGAAGGGCCAAAAGGTGGCTTTGAAATGCCGAAAATCAAAATGCCATCGTTTGGCCTGAAAGGTCAAAAAGTGGAGGGTCCAGACATTAATATTAACCTTCCCAAAGCTGATATTGATGTTAAAGCGCCTGACTTGGACATCAAAGGACCAGGTTTTGACATTGAAAGTCCAAGTGGTAAAATCAAAGGACATACCTTCAAAATGCCAACCATTTCAGTGCCAAACATCTCCATGCCAAATGTTGATTTTAACCTGAAAGGCCCCAAACTCAAAGGCGATGTGGACATGTCAATGCCAAAGATAAAAGGAGACATAAAAACACCTGAAGTTGACATCAAATGTCCAGATGTTGACATTGAAGGGACAAAGAGTGGCTTTAAAATGCCTAACATCCAAATGCCATCGTTTGGCTTGAAAGGTCCGAAGGTGGAGGGTCCAGACATTAATATTAACCTTCCCAAAGCTGATATTGATGTTAAAGCGCCTGACTTGGACATCGAAGGACCAGGTTTTGACATTGAAAGTCCAAGTGGTAAAATCAAAGGACATACCTTCAAAATGCCAACCATTTCAATGCCAAACATCTCCATGCCAAATGTTGATTTTAACCTGAAAGGCCCCAAACTCAAAGGCGATATGGACATGTCAATGCCAAAGATAAAAGGAGACATAAAAACACCTGATGTTGACATTACAGGTCCAGCGGTTGATGTTGAAGGGCCAAAAGGTGGCTTTGAAATGCCGAAAATCAAAATGCCATCATTTGGCTTGAAAGGTCCAAAAGTGGAGGGTCCAGACATTAATATTAACCTTCCCAAAGCTGATATTGATGTTAAAGCGCCTGACTTGGACATCGAAGGACCAGGTTTTGACATGGAAAGTCCAAGTGGTAAAATCAAAGGTCATACCTTCAAAATGCCAACCATTTCAATGCCAAACATCTCCATGCCAAATGTTGATTTTAACCTGAAAGGCCCCAAACTCAAAGGCGATGTGGACATGTCAATGCCAAAGATAAAAGGAGACATAAACACACCTGAAGTTGATATCAAATGTCCAGATGTTGACATTGAAGGGACAAAGAGTGGCTTTAAAATGCCTAACATCAAAATGCCATCATGGAACATCAAAGGTCCAAAGTTTGAAGGTCCAGAAGTTGATATAAACCTTCCTGAAGCGAACATTGATGTTAAAACACCGGATGTTGACATTAAAGGACCCAACATAGAGGGAGATCTGGATTTCTCCGTTCCAAAGATTAAGGGTGACATAAAAGCTCCCAAGATGGATATTGAAGGACCAGAAGTTGACTTTGATGGCGACAAAGGAAGATTCAAAATGCCTACATTTAAAATGCCATCCTTTGGGTTGAAAGGTCCACATGCGGAAGGACCAGACATTGATGTCAGCATCCCAACAGCTGATATTGATGTTAATGCCCCTCACTTGGATATTAAAGGACCAGATGTCGACATTGAAAGTCCAAGTGGTAAAATCAAAGGTCACAAATTCAAAATGCCAACCATTTCAGGACCAAATCTCTCAATGCCAAATGTTGATTTCAACCTGAAAGGCCCCAAACTCAAAGGCGATATGGACATGTCAATGCCAAAGATAAAAGGAGACATAAAAACACCTGATGTTGACATTACAGGTCCAGCGGTTGATGTTGAAGGGCCAAAAGGTGGCTTTGAAATGCCGAAAATCAAAATGCCATCATTTGGCTTGAAAGGTCCAAAAGTGGAGGGTCCAGACATTAATATTAACCTTCCCAAAGCTGATATTGATGTTAAAGCGCCTGACTTGGACATCGAAGGACCAGGTTTTGACATGGAAAGTCCAAGTGGTAAAATCAAAGGTCATACCTTCAAAATGCCAACCATTTCAATGCCAAACATCTCCATGCCAAATGTTGATTTTAACCTGAAAGGCCCCAAACTCAAAGGCGATGTGGACATGTCAATGCCAAAGATAAAAGGAGACATAAAAACACCTGAAGTTGACATCAAATGTCCAGATGTTGACATTGAAGGGACAAAGAGTGGCTTTAAAATGCCTAACATCAAAATGCCATCATGGAACATCAAAGGTCCAAAGTTTGAAGGTCCAGAAGTTGATATAAACCTTCCTGAAGCGAACATTGATGTTAAAACACCGAATGTTGACATTAAAGGGCCCAACATAGAGGGAGATCTGGATTTCTCCGTTCCAAAGATTAAGGGTAACATAAAAGCTCCCAAGATGGATATTGAAGGACCAGAAGTTGACTTTGATGGCGACAAAGGAAGATTCAAAATGCCTACATTTAAAATGCCATCCTTTGGGATGAAAGGTCCACATGCTGAAGGACCAGACATTGATGTCAGCATCCCAACAGCTGATATTGATGTTAATGCCCCTCACTTGGATATTAAAGGACCAGATGTCGACTTTGAAAGTCCAAGTGGTAAAATCAAAGGTCACAAATTCAAAATGCCAACCATTTCAGGACCAAATCTCTCAATGCCAAATGTTGATTTTAACCTGAAAGGCTCCAAACTCAAAGGCGATATGGACATGTCAATGCCAAAGATAAAAGGAGACATAAAAACACCTGATGTTGACATTACAGGTCCAGCGGTTGATGTTGAAGGGCCAAAAGGTGGCTTTGAAATGCCGAAAATCAAAATGCCATCATTTGGCTTGAAAGGTCCAAAAGTGGAGGGTCCAGACATTAATATTAACCTTCCCAAAGCTGATATTGATGTTAAAGCGCCTGACTTGGACATCGAAGGACCAGGTTTTGACATTGAAAGTCCAAGTGGTAAAATTAAAGGTCATACCTTCAAAATGCCAACCATTTCAATGCCAAACATCTCCATGCCAAATGTTGATTTTAACCTGAAAGGCCCCAAACTCAAAGGCGATGTGGACATGTCAATGCCAAAGATAAAAGGAGACATAAAAACACCTGAACTTGACATCAAATGTCCAGATGTTGACATTGAAGGGACAAAGAGTGGCTTTAAAATGCCTAACATCAAAATGCCATCATGGAACATCAAAGGTCCAAAGTTTGAAGGTCCAGAAGTTGATATAAACCTTCCTGAAGCGAACATTGATGTTAAAACACCGAATGTTGACATTAAAGGGCCCAACATAAAGGGAGATCTGGATTTCTCCGTTCCAAAGATTAAGGGTGACATAAAAGCTCCCAAGATGGATATTGAAGGACCAGAAGTTGACTTTGATGGCGACAAAGGAAGATTCAAAATGCCTACATTTAAAATGCCATCCTTTGGGATGAAAGGTCCACATGCTGAAGGACCAGACATTGATGTCAGCATCCCAACAGCTGATATTGATGTTAATGCCCCTCACTTGGATATTAAAGGACCAGATGTCGACATTGAAAGTCCAAGTGGTAAAATCAAAGGTCACAAATTCAAAATGCCAACCATTTCAGGACCAAATCTCTCAATGCCAAATGTTGATTTTAACCTGAAAGGCCCCAAACTCAAAGGCGATATGGACATGTCAATGCCAAAGATAAAAGGAGACATAAAAACACCTGATGTTGACATTACAGGTCCAGCGGTTGATGTTGAAGGGCCAAAAGGTGGCTTTGAAATGCCGAAAATCAAAATGCCATCATTTGGCTTGAAAGGTCCAAAAGTGGAGGGTCCAGACATTAATATTAACCTTCCCAAAGCTGATATTGATGTTAAAGCGCCTGACTTGGACATCGAAGGACCAGGTTTTGACATGGAAAGTCCAAGTGGTAAAATCAAAGGTCATACCTTCAAAATGCCAACCATTTCAATGCCAAACATCTCCATGCCAAATGTTGATTTTAACCTGAAAGGCCCCAAACTCAAAGGCGATGTGGACATGTCAATGCCAAAGATAAAAGGAGACATAAAAACACCTGAAGTTGACATCAAATGTCCAGATGTTGACATTGAAGGGACAAAGAGTGGCTTTAAAATGCCTAACATCAAAATGCCATCATGGAACATCAAAGGTCCAAAGTTTGAAGGTCCAGAAGTTGATATAAACCTTCCTGAAGCGAACATTGATGTTAAAACACCGAATGTTGACATTAAAGGGCCCAACATAAAGGGAGATCTGGATTTCTCCGTTCCAAAGATTAAGGGTAACATAAAAGCTCCCAAGATGGATATTGAAGGACCAGAAGTTGACTTTGATGGCGACAAAGGAAGATTCAAAATGCCTACATTTAAAATGCCATCCTTTGGGATGAAAGGTCCACATGCTGAAGGACCAGACATTGATGTCAGCATCCCAAAAGCTGATATTGATGTTAATGCCCCTCACTTGGATATTAAAGGACCAGATGTCGACATTGAAAGTCCAAGTGGTAAAATCAAAGGTCACACATTCAAAATGCCAACCATTTCAGGACCAAATCTCTCAATGCCAGATTTTGATTTTAACCTGAAAGGCCCCAAACTCAAAGGTGATTTGGACATGTCGATGCCAAAGATAAAAGGAGACATAAAAACACCTGATGTTGACATTACAGGTCCAACGGTTGATGTTGAAGGGCCAAAAGGTGGCTTTGAAATGCCGAAAATCAAAATGCCATCGTTTGGCTTGAAAGGTCCAAAAGTGGAGGGTCCAGACATTAATATTAACCTTCCCAAAGCTGATATTGATGTTAAAGCGCCTGACTTAGATATCAAAGGACCAGGTTTAGACATTGAAAGTCCAAGTGGTAAAATCAAAGGTCATACCTTCAAAATGCCAACCATTTCAGTTCCAAACCTCTCCATGCCAAATGTTGATTTTAACCTGAAAGGCCCCAAACTCAAAGGCGATGTGGACATGTCAATGCCAAAGATAAAAGGAGACATAAAAACACCTGAAGTTGACATCAAATGTCCAGATGTTGACATTGAAGGGACAAAGAGTGGCTTTAAAATGCCTAACATCAAAATGCCATCATGGAACATCAAAGGTCCAAAGTTTGAAGGTCCAGAAGTTGATATAAACCTTCCTGAAGCGAACATTGATGTTAAAACACCGAATGTTGACATTAAAGGGCCCAACATAAAGGGAGATCTGGATTTCTCCGTTCCAAAGATTAAGGGTAACATAAAAGCTCCCAAGATGGATATTGAAGGACCAGAAGTTGACTTTGATGGCGACAAAGGAAGATTCAAAATGCCTACATTTAAAATGCCATCCTTTGGGATGAAAGGTCCACATGCTGAAGGACCAGACATTGATGTCAGCATCCCAAAAGCTGATATTGATGTTAATGCCCCTCACTTGGATATTAAAGGACCAGATGTCGACATTGAAAGTCCAAGTGGTAAAATCAAAGGTCACACATTCAAAATGCCAACCATTTCAGGACCAAATCTCTCAATGCCAGATTTTGATTTTAACCTGAAAGGCCCCAAACTCAAAGGTGATTTGGACATGTCGATGCCAAAGATAAAAGGAGACATAAAAACACCTGATGTTGACATTACAGGTCCAACGGTTGATGTTGAAGGGCCAAAAGGTGGCTTTGAAATGCCGAAAATCAAAATGCCATCGTTTGGCTTGAAAGGTCCAAAAGTGGAGGGTCCAGACATTAATATTAACCTTCCCAAAGCTGATATTGATGTTAAAGCGCCTGACTTAGATATCAAAGGACCAGGTTTAGACATTGAAAGTCCAAGTGGTAAAATCAAAGGTCATACCTTCAAAATGCCAACCATTTCAGTTCCAAACCTCTCCATGCCAAATGTTGATTTTAACCTGAAAGGCCCCAAACTCAAAGGCGATGTGGACATGTCAATGCCAAAGATAAAAGGAGACATAAAAACACCTGAAGTTGACATCAAATGTCCAGATGTTGACATTGAAGGGACAAAGAGTGGCTTTAAAATGCCTAACATCCAAATGCCATCATGGAACATCAAAGGTCCAAAGTTTGAAGGTCCAGAAGTTGACATAAACCTTCCTGAAGCGAACATTGATGTTAAAACACCGGATATTGACATTAAAGGGCCCAATATAAAGGGAGATCTGGATTTCTCCGTTCCAAAGATTAAGGGTAACATAAAATCTCCCAAGATGGATATTGAAGGACCAGAAGTTGACTTTGATGGCGACAAAGGAAGATTCAAAATGCCTACATTTAAAATGCCATCCTTTGGGATGAGAGGTCCACATGCTGAAGGACCAGACATTGATGTCAGCATCCCAACAGCTGATATTGATGTTAATGCACCACACTTGGATATTAAAGGACCAGATGTCGACATTGAAAGTCCAAGTGGTAAAATCAAAGGTCACAAATTCAAAATGCCAACCATTTCAGGACCAAATCTCTCGATGCCAGATGTTGACTTTAACCTGAAAGGCCCCAAACTCAAAGGCGATATGGACATGTCAATGCCAAAGATAAAAGGAGACATAAAAACACCCGAAGTTGACATCAAATGTCCAGATGTTGACATTGAAGGGACAAAGAGTGGCTTTAAAATGCCTCACATTAAAATGCCATCATGGAACATCAAAGGTTCAAAGTGTGAAGGTCCAGAAGTTGATATAAACCTTCCTGAAGCGAACATCGATGTTAAAACACCGGATGTTGACATTAAAGGGCCCAACATAAAGGGAGATCTGGATTTCTCCGTTCCAAAGATTAAGGGTAACATCAAATCTCCCAAGATTGATATTGTTGGACCAGATGTTGAAATTGATGGCCACAAAGGAAGATTTAAAATGCCTAAATTTAAAATGCCAACCTTTGGAGGGAAAGGACCCAATGTTGAAGGACCAGAAGTTGATGTTGATCTTAATGCCCCTAACTTGGATATCAAAGGACCAGGTATTGACATTGAAAGTCCAAGTGGTAAAACCAAAGGTCACACATTCAAAATTCCAAGCTTTTCAGGGCCAAAAATCTCCATGCCAGATGTGGATTTTAACCTGAAAGGCCCCAAAATCAAAGGCGATGTAGACATGTCAGTGCCAAAGATATCCGGAGGAATAAAAACACCGGAGCTTGACATCAAAGGTCCAGAGGTTGATATTGAAGGTCCAAAGGGTCAATTTGAAATGCCTAAATTCAAAATGCCATCATGGAACACCCAAGGTCCCAAACTTGACGCTCCTGAAGTTGATATAAAGGGAGATTTGGATGTATCAGGTCGTAAGATTGAGGGTAACATAAGAGCCCCCAAGATGGATATTGAAGGACCAGATGTTGACTTTGATGGCGTCAAAGGTGGATTTAAAAGACCTACATTTAAAATGCCATCCTTTGGGTTTAAAGGTCCAAATATTGAAGGACCAGAAGTAGATGTCAGCATCCCAAAAGCTGATATTAATGTAAATGCCCCTGATTTGGAAATAAAAGGACCAGATTTTGACATTCAAAGTCCAAGTGGTAAAGTCAAAGGTCACACATTCACAATGCCAAGCATTTCAGGGCCGAACATCTCCATGCCTGATTTTGATTTTAATATGAAAGGCCCCAAACTCAAAGGCGAGGTTGACATGTCAATGCCAAAGATAAAACGAGATATAAAAACACCTGAAGTTGACATCAAAGCTCCAGCGGTTGATATTGAAGGGCCAATGAGTGGCTTTAAAATGCCTAACATCAAAATGCCATCATGGAACATCAAAAGTCCCAAATTTGACGGTCCAGAAGTTGATATAAACCTTCCTGAAGCGAACATTGATGTCAAAACACCTGAAGTTGACATTAAAGGGCCCAACATAAAGGGCAGATCTGGATTTCTCCGTTCCAAAGATTAAGGGTAACATAAAATCTCCCAAGATGGATATTGAAGGACCAGAAGTTGACTTTGATGGCGACAAAGGAAGATTCAAAATGCCTACATTCAAAATGCCAACCTTTGGAGGGAAAGGACCACATGCTGAAGGACCAGACATTGATGTTGATCTTAATGCCCCTAACTTGGATATCAAAGGACCAGATTTTGACATTCAAAGTCCAAGTGGTAAAGTCAAAGGTCACACATTCACAATGCCAAGCATTTCAGGGCCGAACATCTCCATGCCAGATGTTGATTTTAACCTGAAAGGCTCCAAACTCAAAGGTGATTTGGACATGTCAATGCCAAAGATAAAAGGAGACATAAAAACACCTGATGTTGACATCAAATGTCCAGATGTTGACATTGAAGGGACAAAGAGTGGCTTTAAAATGCCTAACATCAAAATGCCATCATGGAATATCAAAGGTCCAAAGTTTGAAGGTCCAGAAGTTGATATAAACCTTCCTGAAGCGAACATTGATGTTAAAACACCGGATGTTGACATTAAAGGGCCCAACATAAAGGGAGATCTGGATTTCTCCGTTCCAAAGATTAAGGGTAACATCAAATCTCCCAAGATGGATATTGAAGGACCAGAAGTTGACTTTGATGGCGACAAAGGAAGATTCAAGATGCCTACATTAAAAATGCCATCCTTTGGGTTGAAAGGTCCACATGCTGAAGGACCAGACATTGATGTCAGCATCCCAACAGCTGATATTGATGTTAATGCCCCTCACTTGGATATTAAAGGACGAGATGTCGACATTGAAAGTCCAAGTGGTAAAATCAAAGGTCACACATTCAAAATGCCAACCATTTCAGGACCAAATCTCTCCATGCCAAATGTTGATTTTAACCTGAAAGGCCCCAAACTCAAAGGCGATGTTGACATGTCAATGCCAAAGATAGAGGGAGACATAGAAAAACCTGCTGTTGACATCAAAGGTCCACAGGTCGATTTTAAAGTTCCTAAGGGGGGATTTACAATGCCTACAATGACCATGCCATCACTTAACATTAAAGATCCAAAGGTTGAGGGTTCAGCCTTCAACATAAGCATTCCCAAAGGAAAAATAGATGCATCCTTGCCCAAATTGGATTCAGATATCAAAGGTCCAACCATCACTATGGAAGGTGTGTCTATTGATTCTGAAAAGACAGGTATAACATTTCCCAAGTTCAAAGGTCCTAAGTTTGGAATGAAATCCCCAGAAGTGGAGGGGAAAACACTCATGTACAGTGTGGAAGCAAAAGGTTCCAAAACAGAACTAAGTCTGCCAGGTAGTGACACAGGTACTCTTGATGCCCCTGACATTAATATCAACCTTAAGGGGAAGAAGGGGAAATTCAAACTTCCAAAAGTGAAAGGAAAGGCAAAGAAACCCGAAGGTGATATAAAAATGCCTGCAGTAGACCTGGATGTAGACACACCCAATATTCAAGTCAAGGGAACAAAGGTAAAGAAGCCGCGTTTTGGTAAGCTTCATTTTCCTGATGTGGAATTAGATATGAAATCTCCAAAATTGAAAGGTGATGGATCTTTACCAGAGGGCATTGACAGTCCAAATATTCATTTGGGAGGGACGGATATGAAATTTAAGACTCCTAATGTTAAAATGCCAAATGTGAAGGTAGCTTCTGATGTCGATACAAATTTGAACAGAGAGGCAACTATGTCTGTAGGTTTTAAAGGCCCAAACAGAAATGTGAGCTCTGGTGCAGAGCTTGATGCAAGTGCTTCAGGCCGCAGTGGAAGTGGTGGCCTTCATTACCCAGAAGGTACTGTAACATTTCCTAAAATCAAGGTACCACAATTTGGCATTAATCAGCCTCAGGAGGAAGTCCAGGGAGGTGAAGGAAGTTGGCAAGTCAGTTCACCAAATATTGAGGTTCCCAGTCCAGAACTTAGGCAAAGAGAAAGCAAAATAAGGGTAAAGATGCCAACATTCTTTGGCAAATCTAAAGCAAAGGGTAGTAGTGCGGGTGACCTTCGAGGACCAGAGGTAGGGTTGAGTACAAGTGGAAAAGGCGGTAAGGTACATACTGGGGGACTGACGGCTGGAAAATTAGAATTTGAGGGTGATCCTGGGCTCAGTGTGTCAGCTAAAGGAAAGTCAGCGTCACTAGATCTATTTAAGAAATCAAGGCATCGATCTTCTTCTCTGAGTGATGAGGGGGCGCTTGCAGTGAGCTCTCCTTCAGCTCACTTAGAAGCTGAGGGTGGCGACATTTCATTAGACCTAGGAGAAAGCAAGGTCAAAGGAAAGAAAGGCAAGTTGAAGTTTGGCACCTTTGGAGGTTTTGGTGCAAAGTCAAAGGGCTCATATGAAGTGTCACTTGGTGGGGAGGGTGAAGCAGGTGCAGGTGTTTCTCTACCCTCTAAGACATCAAGATTGTCTTCAACCTCCAGCAGTGACAGTGGTTCGAGAGGTGGTTTCAGGTTCCCAAGACTTGAACTTTCTGTTTCACCAAAAAAATGATGAACGAATTAATAATGAGATCAATTAAACTCTCTCATGTACACCCAAATAGACTCACCTAACATGGAGATTTTTTCAAAAGATTTTAAGAATCTAACGGGACGTACACAGTCATCTCAATTATGGTTAACTATGAGTAGTTACTTTTTTCAATGAATAGACAAGAGTGCATGAGATTGTTTAAAATCCCTTATCACTGTAAATAAGATTAAATTGTATTGTGATAATAATTTTCTTTTTGTTTGTACATAGTCCAGATTTATTGAACATATGCCATATCATCCCATTCTCACAAGTAGTTTTAGTATTACAGGGTGGTCTTTTGTCCTATTGCATTATATTAAATTAATGGTATTAATGAATGGGTGTGGAATATTTGTATCCAGGGTTCTTTTGCACAGAACATATAGTTACGATTGTTTTTTTGAAGGAAAATGTTGTTTATACACAGACACAAATGCAAACAGTTATCAGTTTTTTTGTGTATTAAATGATTTAATTTTCAAGCTTTTGTTATTATATAATCAGTGCAAAGGCTATTTAGGAAACATCTAACTGGCACTTTCTAACACAATCCAAAGAATAATGGTGTTGTATATTCCTTAATTACAGAGAAAAATCCTGTTTGAACTACCAACTCTCTGAAATGCTGTCAGTACTTTACTGTTAATTTTGAAATAAACTTTATTAACCCTCAGAATCTGTACCATTTACAAAAAGTATGCAACGTATTAAACATATTTGCTTCCTATTCATGTGTCATTTTCATTCTGACCTGTTTTATTATCCTCTGTATTTTTTTTCTGTCACTCTCTCTTTGTACACAAACCTAATGATTATGTAATAAGATGTCACAAATAAAATCACTTTTTGATTGCGAACAGAATCAGTGTTGATTGAGAGTTGCTTAGTTTATCAGATTTTACATTGTTTTTTTAATCAATGTTTGCCATTCATGTGATAGGATACATGCAATATATGATTACGTTTGTTTTGATTTCTGTAAGGCTGCACTGTATTTCTCTTATCCACATTTGTAACATATACCTACCTTGTGGATGGTGAGCAAAACATTCAAAACCGCTAATGGAACAATACAGTTGGTTCTCTCCACAACACATACTGTACGTTATCAATGTGAATTGATTTACCACCGGAGTACGTTAGGTCTTTTCAACAGCGATTGCCAGAAGAAGTACTCAGATATTTTATTTAAGCAAAAGTAGCAATTGCACATTTTAAAAACACTCTTTAACAAGTTACAGTTCTGCATCAAAACATATTTATGAAAGTAAAAGTACTTGTTATGCATAACGGCCCATTTCAGAATCATATAAACCACAAGATTATGATTATTGATGCATACATGGGTCTATCACTGCTGGTAAAGGTGGAACTCAATTTCTTTACTTTATATACTGCTGCCAGATGAACTCCCATATCGATAATAGTATTAAAAACTTGAAAAATATCCCTTTAAGGTACACTTAAAACAGATACAAATGTGTGTTTAATTTGAGTTATGTCAAAATTAAGTTAACTATGGACATCATGCGATTAATTGCAATTCAATCGTTTAAACGATTGCCATCCCAAAAATATGTACATTATTTATCATCAAGCAATTAATCCAACTTGAATTGTTATTTATAATTTTGAGACATACTTAGGCTTGATATCGGTGAGGTCACCACTGTACCTCACCTCATGTACCCACCAACTAAGTCAATTTACTCAAGCACTGTACCCAACTACTTTACTTATTTCATTTAGATGCCACTTTGTACTTTTACTCTACACTACAATTCAGAGGTTAATCATGTATTTTAAGCCCGGGGGAACTCTTTTGCCCGAACACCCTGGGAGAGAGAACAGACAGAGGTAAGTTTAATCATCACACAATCAATTACTAATTCTCACGTTTACTTCGTGAACAATCCCTCGCTACCCGTACTGTTAGCAATGTATGAATATGCGCATTTTAAACCGTATCCATTTCTTTACTCAGGCGAACGGCGAGCAGGAACGGCCCGGCGTCCGCGCCGCACGACACTCACCCACACAACAATGCAATTCAATCAATTGTCAATAAACATATCTATCCATTAATAAAGTGTGTTGTTTAAATCATGTGCCAATACTGTGTCAATATACCCTATACAGTACAATGATTATATCCACATGTCCACGTGAGCTCTAGTAACGGCGTCTCGTTGTTACACAGAGTATTACTCAAAAAGTATACAGTAAAAGTACTTCATTGTATTTGTGGTAGTAGTAAAAGGTACAAGTACTGAGTCCAACAATACAAATTTTATTAAGAACTTATGGCTAAAAATCATTTTATCTCTCATCAAATATAGCAGAAGTGGCATGATTTTGTTCTCAGTAGGGGACTTTGAGAGAGTAGGCTATTACCCAAAAAGTACACGTTAAAAGTACTTCATGTTATTGTTGGTAGCAGTCAAACTAGGACTGAGTCAAACAGTGTCAGTTTTATTAAGAACTTATGGTACAAATTATTTCACAAATAAAGCAGAAAAAACATGCATTATTTTACTCTTGTACTACTAGCGTCAGTGCCGCTTCTCGGCGATTACCGTAAAGGCCCGATTAATTGCGCACTCAAACATGAAGAGCTGCTGATTTGACCAAGCAAACACGAGAGACGGCTGAGTTGACCGCATTACCGGAACGGACGACAGTATCTTAATATCTTCTGAAAACAAATACCAGTGTCACACACACACACACAGGTGTGTGTGGCTATAACGAAGCAGCCTGCAGTCGCTCTTTAGCTGTCTAATGAAGGTAAACACAGTTTATAAAAGGCACAGCTCCACTTCCTACTTGGCGAACCTGTAACTTTCTCGTGTGCACGAGAACGTATCTCTTGCGCAAGAGAAAGTATATCGTGATGAGCAAAACCATGTCACTTGGCCCCTGATAGTTGATTGGCGACGTTAAAGGGCCCCCCAGTGCGTTAGAAAGTAACGCCAAAGGATTCTGACATAACGTCAATATAGGACGAGCTGGGAGTGAGAATGTGTTGGCATGTCACCTGGAATCTCCTCCATGCTCTTGAGACTGTGCTTGGAGACACAGCAAACCTTCTGGCAATGGCACGTATTGATGTGACATCCTGGTGGAGTTGGACTGCCTGTGCAACCTCTGTAGGGTCCAGGTAACGCCTCATGCTATACCAGTAGTGACACTGGCTCTAGCCTAATGCGAAACTAGTGGCCTCCACCTGGAAAACCATTCCTGTTTTTGGGATCGTCTCATTGTTGACCCTCTAGCGCACCTGTTGTTAATTTCATTAACACCAAAGCAGCTGAAACTGATTAACAACCCCCTCTGCTACTTAACTGACCAGGTTAGTGCTGGTTTCAAACCTAGGGTTTGGGCTTCCTACTAAGGACACATGGGGGTCTTAAGCTGAAAATAGGAAATAAATTTAACACAAAAAGTAAAGCAGTCTGTATTTGGTATAGATGATTTCTATATTCTATTCTATTCAGATTCTGCCTACGGCACATGGATCGTAGGGTCACAGTGATAGAGTAGGAGTGGAGAGGATGGGATGGCCTGCAGTCCTGACCTCAACCCCATTGAACCCCATTTTGGGATCAACTTGGCCCTGCTGTCCGTGCCAGAGTGACCAACACCACCACGTTGGCTGACTTGGGACAGATGCTGGTTGAAGAATGGGATGCCATCCCACAGCAGAGTGTGAGCAGGCTGGTGACAGCATGAGGAGGAGAGGCTGTTACTGTGGCTGTGTTTGGTTCTTCCATACGCTACTGAGGCTGCTTGTTAAATGAATCAATTGTTGCCAATATGTCTTTATCAGACTTTAATCATCCAATCATCCAATCCACCAAACAACCAGTCAGCAGCAAAAAAAGCTGTTTGGCATTGGAAGAGGAGATTTGTCTAATTTTTCATGGGTTCACCCCACATACTCAGCTCTGCTGCTCATCCCACAAATGCTTGTTCCTCACAAATGTGGCACCATTTGAAAGGTAATTAAACAGGCTTTCCAACGGTATAAGATTTATTGCCAAAAAGCTTTGTTACATTATAGAAATGATCTACCAAACACAAATTGCCTTTGTTTTTGTGTTAAGTTTATAAATGTAGTGAACTAAAAGTTCAATATTTGCTTCTGCGTTGTTGTTTTGTAATTATAAACTAACATGGAATGGAAGAACTCAGAAAAAATATGTACCCACAAATTGTACTCTACTATTTTCGCTGTCTTTATCATCTTTGTCGAGCCATGAGTTTCACATTTTGGCTATGCAGGATAGACAGTCTGACCAGCTAAGTAAAATAGTGTAAGAATAGGCGTTCACTGATCCTTTGAATTTAACTTCAGAAGGAAATGTTAAATATGCCATAAGTGGTTATCTTGAAACTTGCACATTACTCCTTACATTACATAACGAATATGTGAAATTGTATTTGCAACATGAAATCATGGGTACTGCTTTTCTCAAAATGAATTGTTAGATGTTATGGAAACATTTATTGTAGGGTAAGGCTTTGTCAAAGAGGTGGTTTGCCTCAAACGCAGGATGTGATCCCAGTGTTCCTGTTTGAATGCAATTGTTATTGTAGTGAAGAGGAAGGAACTCATCAGGAATTTCCTTTAAAAGAGGAAAGTGCCTCCTTCCTTTTTTGAGCGAGGCAAACATGTTTGTGCTGAAAGAGTTTCAGAGGAGAAGGAAAAGTTTGAACGGTCCAACACAGTTGTGAGGTTTAATTATTGGATTACATGCAGTTCACCTACATTGGTAATGTTTTGAAGTTACAATTGGAATCCGTTTATCAGGTAAGAGGAAAGATAACCAATAACTGACATTTGCTGAAAATTGAAACATATGAGTGTATTAAAGAGATTTAACACTAACCAGTAACTCTGGTCAGTTTCTCATAAAAAAAACTAAAATAAATAATATAATGTTTTAATCAGCATTCTGGCTACTGCAGTTTATTGCTTACCTTGCAAGGTTGTTGCATGTTGAAAAGTATAAAATGTGCTATAGATTTAGGAGGTACTGTAACGGCAGCTGGTTCAGCCATGAATGGAACATTAAACATCATTTTCTCATTCATACTGTATTTCAATGTGTCCCCTTTGACCTCCATTATGTGTAAGGCTGCATCTTGTTTCTGCAACCTGGTCATAGCCTAATCTGATGAAATATGTAACAGCAAAATATTAGACATTCTTACCTTGAAAAGCAGTATTGACATTGCTATAAAATGTTTTATTCACATTTTATGTGTATATGTACAGTATGAGTTGCTCATTGCAAGTGCAGGTGAGCATGTGTTAGAGTGTGTAGTTGATTTTTTCATTACATTTTATTTGTTAGTCTTCTGCATATGGACAATGGTCATTTACGTTTTAAATATAACTGCCCAACACAGTATGACATTTAACACACAGGGTCTTTACCTCATCTTTAAAAGTAGCATTTAGTTGATATTGATGCTAGGTCATCGCTGTGGGAGGAGTTTTTTCCCATATATCCACATACTACACAGTATATCCATGCAAATACAATGTAAGACACACACACACACACACACACACACACACACACACACACACACACACACACACACACACACACACACACACACACACACACACACACACACACACACACACACACACACACATATACAGTTAAATAAAAATCTATGTTGATGTAGTTATTGTTAATCCTATCAAGGTTTTGGATATAGTTGTGTATTTCCTGTATTTTCCCTGATAACTATTATAGGATATTTCCCTTTTACTTATTTTTTCATATTGAATGTGTGCCAAGGAACACTGTGGCCACTACCAGTCTAAAGTTTTTAGATTTGGGACATGGGGATATTTCCTTTTCAATAACAAATTAAGAGGGGATAATACAATCACTGTTCTTTTTTCAACAGTAAAAGCAGCTAATGCTACAGTGATAATGACTGTGCCAAAAGGTTAGTAGATGCCTGTAGTAAAGTGTTTCCCATTGTGGTTGAAGGACAGGATTGTAAAACTACAATTTTAAATACATTTAAAGATTATGTAGAGCATGTTATTATGCCACTTGACCAAAGGGTCATCACTTAGTGCAAGACAGAAGAGAACTTCGAACAGCTGAATGTTGTATTAGACATATAATGGCAAAGCATGTGTGTGTGTGTGTGCATGGCAAACACATTCAATTAGCTAATCAGAATCCCTATCAGAAAGCAGTTGCTGTTTGCTGTTCCTTTTGGGCTCTAAAATAATATAATACAATGTAAAATATTTTATATGCAGAGAAAGCTCTTATTAATAATTCAGTGCATTGCCTCTTGACTGAATATAATGTGTGAAGCTCATCCGCTCATATTGTATCATTAGCATAAACACTTGGATATAAACAAAGGGTGATCCACACACTTCATGCAGTCCTTCAACCGCTTTAGTTCCTCCCAGAGAGTTGATTTGAATAATGCAATGCCTAGAATATTTTATTATGCATATTTCTTGTAGTAATCATAATCTCTGTACTGTTTCGTTTGGTGTGTGTGAAGAATACAACATTGTAAAAGTGATTTTTCTCAGATAATTTTAATGGGAAGGATCAGTTAGCTGTGACTTATTAATAAATACTTTTGCCAATAAGGTACAAGCATTAGTGAGTGGAAATAAAAAGTGTGTATTTTATTCTTAGCTTTAAAATATCGTGAAAGAAGGGAGGAAACGTGCATTCTGTTAGTTGAAGATCTTTAAACATGTTTTACAGGTCAGATCATATATTGTGCCCATCGCAAAACATGCTAAGATTTGATTTAGGTGGAGATCAGTGAACACAAATGCTGGTTACGCAAACTCTTACATACCAGCAGTGGGCGGTTTGTGGAGGCGGATGAGAAATTGTACAATATTGAAATCCAGCAGTTTAGGTGCAATGTTCTCTTCCCTTTTTCATGGAAGTGGAAATCAGAAAACGTTGCTGCTCTTTATGTTCAGTTATTTCACAGGAATAAAAGTTAGCTACACTTCTGTTATATCAGTTGATAAGCGTGCAATGATGAACAAATATGCAAACACAGGGAGCTCAGGGGCAGGACATTAACATTTATCAAGTCATTCCTGTGTAGAAATCCATAAATCCTGACCAGATGTTATGCAGTATCAAGCAGATACAGTATCACTTGTTGTGTTTCATAATCTTGCATGGTTAACAATCCATTTATAAATCCAATTACAACCTGCTTTGTGCACATAACTCTTCTTTTGATATCTGGATCAAAAACAATTATTTAAAACACCAAGATCTGAAAAATTAGACACATCACCCAACATCAGGGGTTCTCAACATGTGTGGTCATGGGATACTGATGAATGAGCTGGCAAAGAGAAGTGGATGGTTTGGGTTTACTTTTAATAAAACAATCAAGTATGTATTTAATCTATTAATATGCCAATGTTTCAGACAAATCATGTGCCCTACGAGATCTAAAGCGAACACAAGGAAATGTCCCGCTTCAAAGCCTACATCATTCTGCACAGTGAATGCGGGATGATTGGCTCTTGTCAGATAATAGCCTTGTAACCCGCATGTGATCACATCCTAATTGTTGACTAATCAACTGCTTACAAATCAAGAGCAAGCTTTGATCAAATGTTCCATGGTGCATGGTTCCACGTCTCTTTGCTTTTGAATGATTAGTTAAGGTATGGTATTTCATTTAGCTGCATGGTGCGGTTATCTTATGCTATGCAGAAAGAATAGGATCTATTCTTGAAATGTTTTCTGGAGCCCTGAAGGAGGAAGAGGAAGCTAACTGACCTTGAAGGCTCATCAGATGCAGTTTTTCACTTGTAATCGCAGGGGGCTTTAACCCATTCACACGCAAACGAAAACGCATACGAAACGCAAATGAACCGAATACGATATCAAAAAAGTCTTCTGTTCACACGAGACCGCTCGGGAGCGCTGGAGACGCTGTAGTACATATCCCGGGCCTGTAAGTGGCGCTGTACTTCCGCACAAGACCGCTCGAAAGCGCTGGAGACGCTGTAGTACATATGCCGGGCCTGTGAGTGGCACTGTACTTTCGCCACAAAATACACCAAAAGCAGCGAAGAAGACCCCCGAGCATGGTTGCCATGGTTGCCCTTCTGTTTATGCCCCGCGGTGGATTTAGCAACATGTAGTTCATGTAATTCTCCATTTCCACTTGTTGCTGATGGTTGTGGTAGAGGAGCTGTAGATTTTGCACTAACATCTGTAGCATGGTCGAGCTGTAGATTTTGCACTAACATCTGTAGCATGGTCAGTAGCAGTAGCAGTAGCTACTGACAGTCGCTACTGACCATGCTACAGCAGTGAGCAGCAGAGGTGGGGAGAGGTGGGGCTATGGCTTCATCGTTATCAGGAAATGATCGTATAGGGCGTACACACTGAGCCGTTTGGCCCCCCAGAGCGTTCCGTTTGCAGATCTATCCACCTTGGGACCCGTTATCGTTTGCGGGGTCCGTTTCCGCGTTTCCGTTGCGGCCTCGTGTGAACGAACGGGCTATACGAAAGAGAAAAGTAGCGGATACAACCGTTTGTGTTCTCGTGTAAACAGCACATGAAGGTGAATATCTTGTCTGCATGGCTACATATACTAAGACATTTTCCCATGGGATTCAGATTGTTGTGGAATAGCAGACTGCATACAGTAGATGTGTATTGTGATTTACTTTTCACTTGCCTAGGAAAGAGTGTGTTGATTATTCATAAGAGAGTTACTAATGTATCCTGCTTTTTTGTTTATGGATGAGCATGCTAGTGTATTTACATACATTAATGGATTACAAGCTCCTTCTACAGTAATAGTCCTGATAGTTCAGCCTATAAGTAGTCTTTCTCTTTCCCTGCTTGAGCAAGCAGTGATTTACTTTGTTAAGGTGTGACCTCATCATCCTGCCTCTGTGATACCCCACCTCCCCCTAACAGCAAGAGCAGTGGGCCCTGTTATCACTCACACACGCACGCACGCACACACACACACACACACACACACACACACACACACACACACACACACACACACACACACACACACACACACACACACACACACACACACACACACACACACACACACACACACACACACACACACACACACACACACACACACACACGGACAAAGAGAACAGCATCAGAGAGGAATGGGCATGGCTTGGAAGATTTTCTGATTTTATTTTCAGAGTATAAATGTCTATATCTCAGTGTGTGTGTGTGTGTGTGTGTGTGTGTGTGTGTGTGTGTGTTTGCAGAGCAGAGACAAGACAAGGAGAGAGGGAGAGAAAGCGAAACAGGGGAGACGAAGGGGAGGGAGTGTGGATCATGCATGTGCATTAACTCAGCTCCAGCGGCACAGCAGCAGCAGAAGCAGCAGCAAACAGAAACAGCAGTAGCACAGGAGAGAAATAGAGAGAAAGACAGAAAGGGAGAATTGGAGGGAGGGTAGTAGTCTCAGGCACAGGAACAATAGCTGCAGAGGACTGCTTTCCATCTCCACTAAAAGAACAACGGAGGAGTAATAGAAGGAGGAGGGGATGTTCATGATAGTAGTGAGGCAATAACGGAAGAGAAGAGTCACATTGTAGGCACTGAGGACTGGAATCAAGGCTCTTCTCTGCTCTCCATGTTTTTGGGGACTCAACATACCATTGCCTTCGTTTCCAAACCCAGAGGAGGATGTCTGTGTCGGGAAAGAAGGATTTTGACGTGAAGCAGATCCTCAGGCTCCGCTGGCGCTGGTTTAGCCATTCATCCCAAGGTTCGGCTGGCAGTGGAGGCGGAGGCGGTGGAGGGGTGGGTGGGTACATCCAGCAGGATGGCCTGGACCACAGAGGGACGCCTGTCCAGGGCCGGCTGAAAAGCCACTCACGTGAAAGAGGCATTGGAGGACTACGAAAGAATAACAGCCCGGTTCACAGTATTTTGGCACCTACGCCAGGGCCCACACCTGTCTATGTCCGAACGGGTCAACAATCATGGCACCATCAGCAAAACACCATTCAGGGTCTCCAGGTCAACGAGGAATCCTCAAAGAGCAGCTCCTCACCGAGCACCACAAGAAAGGAGGACACCATCACTGGCCAGGAAGATGTAAAAAGCAGCACAGAGGAACCTGCAGAGGTGGAGGCCAGAGAGAGGTACGACGGTTAGGAGTCATTTGATTCTTAGGAGACAGATTCATGCTACATCAGTAACCTTGTGTATTCTTGATTAGCCGAAACCCGATATTGCTATTTTGGTAAGAAGTTGTCTCTTCCAGTTTCGTAATGAAAGTAAAGCTGCTTCAAAATTATAAATTAATTAACAGTTTTGATGATGTTTTGTTAAAAAAATAGCCTAACACTGCTTGGATGCTGCTTATTTAGCACATACCAGCCATACTTTAAATCTGTTTAAAATATTTCTGAGACTAAATGCATACATATATATTTATAGTATATCTAGAGCCTCTGAACTTCATTCAATATTTACACTTTCATCCTGCCCGTGCACAGTCCATTAATCAAGCAAAATGTAAATACATGCACAGCTTTCATTTTCCAATTTACTCTTGCTCTGCAGCTGCTCTCATGGCTCACCTGGGGGAAGCTCACTCTTATTGTCCACAGCATGTTAGGCAAGGTAAACCAATATAGCACCATTTTAATTATTCATCGGACCAAAAGCCAAGGCTTTATCTGTTCCATTGTCTGTGTTGTGGTCCAGATGACATGCACTGTATGACTTTGCTTGATTCCTCCAGATTCTTAAGTTTGTACACATTACAATAATGCATTCTTCCATGGAGTTAAAAGCGATAAATAGCTATTGACTCACGTAACCATGTACAGGAACTAAAAAGAGGAAACATTGCAGTGAATGTCTAGATTGCTTCTACAACCACTTTATAAGCCAAAAGCTCTCATCGGCTATCACGGGTATTATTGAATTCATTTCCTAATAACATCGTTTCACAAATCCTGATACCAAATTTGTAGGGTCATCCATGTTTCTTTTCCAGTAATAAATCCCACCCCCTGCTTTTCCAGGTAGTGTTATTTTCCTCCTGTCTCTTCTGTGATGCTACATCTTCCTCCAGGAAGTAAACAGGTTAGAGATGTGTGTGTGTGTGTGTGTGTGTGTGTGTGTGTGTGTGTGTGTGTGTGTGTGTGTGTGCGTGCGTGCGTGCGTGCGTGCGTGTGTGTGTGTTGTGTGTCAGTAAACTAAAAGCACCCCACATCAGGGATGAAAAGCCCAAGTCTCCCTTTTATCTGGTCTGTGACATTCTAAGATGATTGGTCCTTAGGCTTCCCTGTGTGCCTTTGTTTTCATGCACCTGGGGACAATGATAGTGTACCTATCCTTTTGTTTTACAAAGAGCTCACCATGATTAAACAGTTTTCTGGATACAGACTCTCTGTCTACAGCCAGAAATATGTCAATGTGGATTAAATCAATGCCACGAGCAGTGGACGGTTGAGTTCCCTGAACAGAGCATGAATTATTCTGAGTTAAGATACAGTTTTGGAATCAGCCTGACATTCGGCTCTCAGTGTTGGTATAATTGGCAGATGTTCATGTTTGTGGGTCCCTGTATGTGAAGAATGCATGCATAAAATATGTGCCTCAAGGTAAAAATGTGTAACTCGCCAGCTTTCAATGCAGACCTTGAGTTCAAGATGGCCATGTAAAATATAGCACAGCCATTATATTTGGACAATAATACTGAAATATTAAAATGGTTCTTCTCTGGTGGATCATAAATATATCTCGGGTAGACTTGTATTGATATCCATTCATGAATATGATAATCAGCAATGTAATATAGCAAACAAAAAGTGTTTTGAATTATTTGAGGATTCTTCCCACCCGAATTGTCAACAATGTCAGAGAAACAAATCTTCTGTTATTCTAAATAACACTGTATAGAATATTGACAGACAGCTCCATCAATGTATCCCTTCATTTAAATAAATACATCGTCCTCTGTACCTATTTTACATAATTATTAAATCAAGAAATGTGCATTTTTCTGTTCATGCAATAGCAGGCTGCCAAATGAGTTTGACCAGGGCTATCAGGGAAGTACATAATTTAATGTGGTGAGATGATACGGGTGTTCAATTAAGTATGTGTATAATGTTAATGCAGTCATTTCATACCTGTGAAGCACTAGTTTCTGAGAGGTTTGGACAAGCACTGCATTTCGATGTAAAAAATGTAGCTCGTGACTGTGTGATACATCATGGCTTGTATGTTCTTCTACTGCTAAGTAGATGTGTCGATGTCACTGAGATATGCACATTCATTTACTCCACCAGCTGGGTGGCCCTATTACGTCTCACATCATAAAATCCTTGACATATAATTTGTCACAATCCCTCAGGCAGAATGAAGAAATTAGTTCTGCTGGCTGCGAGTTATACAAAAGTTGTAACCGTTCCTTTGTAGTTGGAAAAATATGTGCCAGTCATTTTGTGTGACATGCCCCTCAGTGATTAGTATCATTCAATGTCTACCAAAAAATCTGTCCCTCTACTTTATTCCTTTCTTCTATTATGTGTTCCTCACTTTTGTTATCCATATTCCAGATTGCTGTCAAACTGAACTAACTGGCACATTCAACCAAACAATATTTCATCCTAATTGGGTGGTTTTACTATTGGACAAAATACTGTGGTCACAGTGGCTATACATTTAGCTTTGTGCCTGAATTTAAGAAAGTATTCTTAGTATTAGTCGGCTTATTAATCATAAATGTATACGAACATGTATATCAGTTCAGAGGTTATTCAGCAGCAGGAAGGGTATTGGCAACATTACCATTGAGCTTGTGTCTTTTTTGTTATTATTTTTGTTGTAGTTATTTAAGTTTTGTCACACATTCTAAAAACCTGCCTTGATGAGTATTGAAGGAATTTCAAAAGGTCAATTGATGTCGTGGTCTATGCTGATTTACTTATTGTTGCTCTGTTAGCTTTCTCTTGAATGTATTTAAAGGTTTTATAAATAACATTCAGAACATTCATGAAGCAATAAACAACTATTTGCTTTGTAAAGATATAGTGGAATATCGGCATGGTTAGCACAGAATGAAGGCACACTTCCTCTGTTATTGTTGTAATACAAGTGTTTCTGTTCTTTCTTTATGTAACCGGGTTGGCAGTGCATGCATGTTAGTGCATGTGAGTCCCATCATAGATATACTCTGAATATATTATTTAGCCTATCCAACCTTTTACATCTGACTAACTGGTAGTTATCCACAGAGTTGTTAAATCAAATGTAGTTTAGTAAGCAGCAGATAATACCACGTTGTTTTCCACCCTTGCTCCTAATGCTCTATATTCAAATATATACTGTATATTTGTTGCGTCCTCATGACTATCATCCAAATAACCTCTCCCCATCGTTGACAGAGAATATACGACAGAAGTGAACCTGAATGGAATAGAAACCCTGACCTCTCCCACATAAACACTAACAGAGGATTGAGTCAGCGGACTGTTAGTTTGAATGATATCTCAATTCCCTCTCCACCGCCTTGGAAAAGAAATACCACCACCTCACCCCCTGTCAACAGCAGTAATTCAGATATTTGTTGGATGTCTCATAACACCACATGGCTTACAGGGTCTCGGTCTCCTTGTGACACATCCAGAGGAGGCGTCCTTAAGAGGCTGTAAATTGCAAAATACAGTATATCTGTTGTAATATCAAAATGACATCCTCAGGGATGTAGGAGATATTGCGATCGCATATAATTGATTCTGAGCATGCTTCAACTTTGCCAAATCAGCATTCTGTGTGCAACAAGGCCATTGCAGATGGAAGATAAAGATCAAACCAGAGGTTTTAGTAACCCCTCCTTATGCTTTTGCAGAAGGCTGTGGACAGAGGTACAGTTTTATTTTATGCTGGATACATTACTAATTTCTGTTCAAATGCAGATCAGTCATCTTTTCCACCCGAATGGACCCAGTTCAAAGCAAAAAATCCCTCACACAGCTTTCTATGAATGTTACACCGGCACTATGAGTAGGGGCTATGACTTCTGAGGCACTCACGTTAACTTATTTGCATTGAAGACGTTTCTTTGAGGCACAGACAACTGTGATCAAGCTGAAAATGTCATAGTTAATCATATCCGACAGCAGAAAAGTGTTCAGTATTTTTTTCTGTAAAATGCATGGTTTGCATATACAATAACATTTAGATCTGTTGGAGGATTTCAGGAAAATTAATTAAAAAGATGCGGTTTTAGTCACCAAATAAAAATGGCACTCAAGACATTTTTAAATCTGAATTTGTAACCCTCTAAGCTAGAAAGGTTGGAAATCCATATTGTATCTGGAGATCTAAATCTATCTAATACACAGTATAAACCAAATGCATGCAACCCAGGCTCCACGGCTTTAATAATATGGATTAAGTTGTTTACCCACTAACATCAAATGTAAATAAATTACAGATCTAACAATGATGACAGTCTCATACACTATGTGAGTAAACTGCCATCAGCAAAGCAGGGAGAAGCTTTCTGCTAAGATCTGCACATCTTTCACTTATAAGACGCCCACAACACACGCACACGCACACGCATGCGCACACGCACGCACACACGCACACACACACACACACACACACACACACACACACACACACACACACACACACACACACACACACACACACACACACACACACACACACACACACACACACACACACACACACACACACACACACACACACACACACACACACACTTTAAATCACATTTTCAAGCATTATAATGCAGAGCTCAGCATTGTATTCAAAGTAAACCTGTAAAGCCCCTGTCACACTCACACTGTCCTGAAATTGGATGGAATTGTGAATTTCGCACGAAGATGGCCCCGAACCACACACGAAGGCAACATTTACATTACATTTAAGACATACAACTGCAACGAAGTAACAAAAACAATTATGTTAAAGTACTATGATACTGTACTGATATTTTCAGACTTTGTTCTTTACTTTCTCTGTCTTTATATGTAGAAGATATTAAGTTTTCTCCGTCATGTTGTTTCCATAGCAACAACAACTTCCTGTCAACTCGCCTTCAAAATAAAAGCATCTAAATAAAACAGGAAGTTAACCTAAATTACATTTAAGACATACACCTGCAATGAAAGTAACAAAAACAATGTAATATCCTTTTCACTTTCACAGAACACAAATTGGGTTATTTACATAATATGTTTACATGATTTTGTTGTGCAATAAAACAACCAGATGGACACACGATAAAGGAAATGTTCAAATTCGGCTCTGATCGTAACAACATCGGGCCATTGGTGAGGGCATCTTAAGCCATCGTATGACCGCCGGTGGAGTTTCTCAGGCTCCGGCAGCAACTTCGTGAGCGGTGGCAAAATCTTTGACATGCCAAAAAATTGCCGAAGGACCTTGCGAAGGTTCATTTTCTTGTTGAATTTGTGTGTCCATTTTGCCGGGGAGAAAAATGCCCGATGGCACCGATGATCAGACGAAGATGACACGATTTGACAAGATGCCCTCACGAGTGCCTTACGAAGGGCAAAATGGACACACAAATTCCACACGAAAATGAATCTTCGCAAGGTCCTTCGGCAATTCTTTGGCATGCCAAAGATTTTGCCACCGCTCACAAAGTTGCTGCCGGAGCCTGAGAAACTCCACCGGCGGTCATACGATGGCTTAAGATGCCCTCACGAATGAGTTCACACACACGATATTTCCTTTATCGTGTTTCCATCTGGTGTCAATTTCGGGACAGTGTGACAGGGGCTTAAACAATGTCATTATTGAAATAAGATTTACCAACTCATTCAAATGTACCATCCCAACAGTGTTAATATTCTGTGCTTAGCAACACTCAATTATAATCTCTATTTTGAAATATGTTCATCTACTGGCACATTATTCCTCAGTGACTTCAAGCAGATATTTCCCTTAAGTTTTCAAGTCAATTATGTAGATTTTCATTATTAAACGGACATACTTTAACAGATGATTTTCATTTTTAATGTGTAAGATGTAACTCCTCTTGCAGTTTCTTAATATTCAAAACATCAATTAGTATGCCACCTGAGATTTTCATTAGCTTTTTGCAGAAATTTTGCTGACATGACTTCTCCACCATCACCTCTTTCTTTACAACGTGTGCGGTTTTGGTAAAAGCTGTAAGAAGGCAATATTTCATTTCTGTTAATAGCAGTGTCAATTTTCCACTGCAGTCTCTCACATAAAGAGCCCAGAGGCCACATTCAGAGCAGATTTCAAAAGACGTGGATCCCATATGCAGCTTCATTTCCTCCATCATTATCAATATTAAGCATGTCCGGTATTACAATGGAATGAGAAGAAGGAAGTCTGTTACGAAGCCTCAGTGAGATAGTAAAGTGCAGAGAGAAAAATCTATTTCTGTACAGAGTTATCATCTCAGCCTTACTGCCGGGATCAAGCTATTACAGTCAGTGTATATATTTCTCTCCACACAAAGCCGAATGACAGTAATACAGACTGTAAAAGCACAGAGGCATAGAGATCTCATGGAATATATAGACTTGGCATATGCTGCATGAGGCTTTGTTGGAGTTGTTAGATTCTCAACCCAACCCAAGCTACTCAGCAGCCTTTAGGGGCAAATGGCTGTTATAATCCATTTTGAAAGAGACATTTCCCATTTGGCCCAGGCAGGCACGACTTTCCCTCTTGTAAAGGGATGGAATTGACATTAGTTGGAATAAGACTGAGATTTTCAGCAACATGTCTAACTCATAACCTTTACAGCTACAGGCTAATCCTCGCTAACCAAAGCGCATCAGGAATTGTCCGACTTTTCAACTAGGATGACAGTTTTGACCCATCGAGAAGTCAGAATGATTATAGGAACACAAACATGATATTTAATATGCTGTATAACTCATATATTATTTTTAATGAGTGTTGTATCTTCACCTGAAAAGCTTGTCAGGTTTTTTAAATGAATATGTTTTTCTCAGATCCAATTTGACACATTGTGGTGTGATAACTTCAGGAAGGTGTGAGGAGATAATGACAAGACTTCAGGTGATATGTGTTCAGTCAAGGAAGAAAACGTCACATGTACTGTAGGATGAGGAGGGATGAAGCCCTCTATTTTATTCTATTAATGCATATAGGCAATTTGACTATTGTTCTATACTGTTCTACAAATGCAAGTTTGCACATTGAACATTTGTAGATAACAAAATATATCTACAGGCCCTGTTAGGGTGTGTGACTCTGTGAATTGCTCAGTATTATGTGATGTACAGCAATGTACCTACAGCAGTTTCTCTGGAGTAAGGTGTTCTGGGGCTTTAGTGCCTTAATAAAATTGGGCTATACCTCTGATGATCCAACCCTCTACTGAAAGTGAAATATATCCCTCAGAGAAATTTACTGCTCCCTAGAATGTGATACCAAAGCAATTAGTGTCGGAGAGATTGGTAGGCATGAAAAATCCTTACAGCATGCCTTGGAGCCAATACAAAGGCAATGCATCTCAGTTTTACGGCCCCATTGCTTATTCAGTCTTGTTTGGTGTTCCTCTCCAAGACTCCAGAGTCAGTGGGGAATTATCGTGACAGAGCAATAAATTACTCTTGCATTTAGCATAAAGTCTCCCAATAAAGGTTAGACTATAGGATTCTGCAGTGACCGGGGGGCAGTATAAACAAATCCCCAAGGGAAAATGTTGCTTTTAGTAATCGAAGAGGAGAAATCACACACCAGGCTGAAAACTTTATAATAGTGTCTTAATCAGGATATCAATAAGGGCCATCACTCCCTTACACCCCTCCTGTGTTATCAATCTTTGTATGTGCCAATATATTGTGCAGCCAAGCATGACAGGGTTTTCATTTCATTCTATCGACAAATCTGTAACTTTGCTAGTTTATGCAGCTCTCATGTTGCTGCATGAGTGGTAATGAGCGGGGATATTAAGTGTTGATTTAAATAGCAGTGACTTTTTTTTTTCTTGAGCAAAATCAGTCTTTAAACAGCTGCAGGACCGTGAGATGACAGTAAATTCCCCCGGAGAGGCAGCTTGGGTCTGTTTATGTAGCGTAACAAACAACCCTAAATGTCAATGAGCGGACTTGCTCTGTGAAGGACACCAAAGTGTCTGGGCTGCATTATTTGCCACGTGTCTGAGGGATTACTTGGGCGCCTGTAGAGCCGCATGTAATCTAGCAGCCTGTAGGGACAGGGACTCAGCCTCAACGAAATGCTGTAAGAAACAGGCTTGTTCACTTGTTAAGTCCCTGTCTTTGGAAAACCAACGTGCACACACAGATATATAGATGCACACAGGAACAAACACAAAGGCATACACACATTACAGACACAGTGACTTTCTGTCTGGAAAGCTGTTGCATAGATTGGGAAGCTCGCTTGTCCCATTGGACTGCAGTGCTCAGTTATCGACTTATGTATGGAGTTGTGTCCATAACAGTTTTAATTTCAGCTTAAGTGGCAAGAAAGCTGCAGATACACCTCAGGGAGTAGAGTGCGATGTGTTTGACTAGGCCTTTTTGTGTCCTCAATAATATGGTGCTTATCTTGCTTCGTACATATTTTTGATTTGATTTTTTTAATCAATGTTATATTTATGATAGGGGACAGGGAGAGGAAACAAGAGTTGGTTCAATTAATTAGTCCCCCTAAATTAAATGTCTTTGTTATTTCACCTAAAGTGTCCGATCTTTTCTCTTTGTTTTTGTCCGCCTTATGTGAAGTCCTCGTCAAGTGAAGTCATGCTGACGACTAATTCTTACATATGTCTATTTCCAAAATAAAAAATAAGAGGAAAGCTCATTGCAACAAAACCTTTTTAAGCAATTTAAGTAAATATTCATGCTTTAGTGCATTGTTTTAGCCTTTAACCATCTCTCTTCTCTTCCACAGGTTGGCCCTGAGCACCTTCTCCAAAATGAACACCAACTCCTCGGATGAGTTTTTCCAGGCCACAAATCATGCAGAACAGACTTTCCGTAAGATGGAAACCTACCTCCAGCACAAGCAGCTGTGTGATGTTCTCTTGATAGCAGGGGATCATAAGATACCCGCTCACAGGTTGGTGTTTGCGCTTCAGTCCTCTTTGATTTAATTAATTACACTGCATCGGTTTAGTTAAGAGATACAGAAGCTCATCTGAATTCACTTCATTAGGTTGCAGATGCGAGCGCCCAGGATTTGGTCTGGACCACATTTCGCATGTTAAAATATATTATGTCAGTCCCGATTCATCTCAGGAATAATCGAATAATCTTTAAAATGCAAGAGCAAGATTCTTCAGATTTTTAAGTGACAGGAAAGATATGCATACTCTATGCTCACTGGTTGGCATCTAAATCATGCACACTGCTTTAATCTAATTACACCACTGCACTTCCTAATTTCCACGTTACAATTGTGCAGTGGAGGAGCGGTGTGATTCAATACTTCTGCCAATATTGAGGCATCAAGCCCTCGGTTGACTGGCAGAATTGAACTTATCGCATGACATCCCCTGAATGCAGAGAGGCATCACGTTCACTGAGTGCATCTTTTTGTGTACGTCTTTCTACCGGCACATTTTGTTAGTTCATCAAGACAGATTTATAAAACAGAAACCCGAATACTCCACAGAGAGAAATTATAAGTGACTGACCTAGTTGAAATAGTCAGTTCTCTATCTACCGGTTCAATGTGGATTTATATTTGTAAAGCAGGAACGGTGTGTAGACAGCCAAAACAATACAGGATGAACCACAAATATTGAAATGTCGATTGCTGGACTGTGCTTTCCTTTTATCGCAGTGTGATCTCTCCTTCTCTTCATGATCAACCATTGTGTTGTATGAGCTAGACAAATGAGCAAACATAATTAGGAGTTGGAGCAGAGTAACTATTAGCAACATTAAGTCAATGAGATAACTTAATTCATTATACACTGAACGAGTTGAATGTGGGGGGAACAATACCAAAAATGCTGCAAGCACAGAAGCAGAATAAATCAAGTTAAGAAACAGTTACACATGAAAATACACAGAACATTGTAGCCGAATATACTGGAAAAATAGCCCTTTTTTGAGGAAACACAATGATTGATTCACTTACCCTTTAAACAATTCTGCATTCAGATCTCACTTATATAGTCAGGCCAACTAATGTACAGTACACAAGAGCAATAATTCACTGTGTTTCATTTATGGCAGACTGGTGCTGAGTGCTGTGTCGGACTACTTTGCTGCTATGTTCACCAGCGACGTGAGAGAGGCAAAGCAGGAGGAGATCAAGATGGAGGGAGTCGATCCAGAAGCCCTCAGGTCCCTGGTTCATTTCGCCTATACCGGTGAGTGCTCGTAAAGACGTTCACTAGCTCTTGTAAGTAGTTATGAGACTTCTGAAATCCAGCATGATTAAAATGGATCAATAAGGCTATTCATCACTGGGCTTACTGACTGCAGCAATCCAACAGTGTTGTTTTTTTTACTAGACAAATCCCATTTGATAAGTCTGTTGTTGGGAATATCCAGACCCCCAATTTCTTTATTCTATAATAGGGTAAAATAACCCAATGTTGTTGATCCAGTATGAGATGTTAATAATTATCTCCACAATGTGTTTGTCCTTACGGCTACCACCCGTCATGACATAAAAATACATTCTTCGTGTCCTGACATTGCAGGTGTCCTTGAGCTGAAAGAGGAGACCATTGAGAGTTTATTGGCGGCAGCTTGCCTTCTCCAGCTTTCACAAGTCATCCAGGTTTGCTGTAACTTCCTGATGAAACAGCTTCATCCCTCCAATTGCCTGGGAATACGCTCCTTTGCAGACGCCCAGGGCTGCGTGGACCTGCTCAATGTGGCTCACAACTACACCACGGTAAAAGAGCGAGTAGAACTAGAACATATTTATATGGCTGGGTGGGCTAAATTATTTATTTTGTAACTACAGTTTGCACCCTGAAAGTGGCTATGTTTTGCATTACTACACAAGGGTAGCTGCGGCAATGGAAGCTTTAACATTAAAAAGATTATCTAAACATGTAGTTTAATCAACGCTATATCCACTTTCACAGGACAGACAATCACCATTGTAGTGAATCAAAATTAACTCTTATTAACATAATGTAAAAAGCTGAGGATTCAATTGAATATGTTTTTATAATTTAAATGTATAGTAGCCTGTGTGATAAGCATTATTTTGTCAATGACGTCAGGTTTTGGTATAATGTACATAACACAGTGAATTATCGTGACCATAGCTAGGCTAGCTAAGTCAAATAACATGTCATGTTATTTAATGTTATTTAAAACATGTCAACCTGTAAAAGAATGACATATTTGTTTCTGGGTTATTTATTTAATATAATTTGAGTAGAGAAACGGAGGACGTCCACATTTGAATAGAAATTGAAAATGTTCATGCTTTCACTTTATCTAATTTGGTTATGTGGCTGTCAGTACCAGATACCACGACGCTTCACATTGATTAGTGCACTGCCAGACCTAAGAAATTGCAATTTTTATATATATGCCTGCAAAGAGTATTTGCATTGGATTAAGATTCATGCACACATTTGTCAGATAACGTCTTGCTGGCCATGCAGAAGTGACAGCATGAGGCAGGCGTTATCTCCTAGAGGACATCTGCTCAGTCTGTTTACATAGCCCCCATCCAGGACCAGGAGGTTAATCTAATCATCAAACTGCACAAGAGGGCCAACTTCCTGTTCAATCACTTGTGTAATGAGCAGCGAGAGCTGTGGGCTTCCTGGAAGTCCGTTCTCCGGGTTGTGAGTGGAGCAAGTTTTGTTTGGATAAGCTTGTTTTTCACGGTTAGGCACTGTTGAGATCCGCCTCAGACATCCTTTTCCTTTATGAAATAGTAGCCCTTTTTATATTGCAGTAGATAAAACTGTATTGTTTTATTTTTGGGATGAAAGTATTTTCTTTTAGCAATAAAACATGTTTATGTTACATGTCACAATAAATACCACAGAAATCGGATGTTATAAAATGAATCTCAATTAAGAAAGATATTAGAATATAGCAATCTGACTCTGCCAGGCCTTGCAAATTGTCTGGTAATCAAAATGTTCTTGAGCAGTAATTATGCTGCCTCACTCCCCTTAACATCAGCGTTCCTCCTCAGAAAACACCGTTATTACAGAATTACTGATTTGCAGTAGTTAAATCAATTAGTTTCCTATCCCGCTGATCTTGTTTTCCAAGCAGTTTACCACCAATGAGTTTGCCAGCATCTGAAAACACATCCTTTTAAATGTTTATGAAACACTCTGTTGAACTTTCAATTTGGTTGTCAGCTGTTCAGGACTGGTAATCACAAATAATTGGTTTGAAGTAACGTCAAAGATTTGGATGGCATTTCTCCGTCCTTCTTGCCACAACAGATCAATAGATGTCCCTCATTTCATTAGGGCTGTTTCTGTTAAGCTCTTAAAACCTGCTCTCATAATAGATTGCTGTAATTTGTTGCAAGTTGATGATCAATAGCGTCCATGTTTTTTTGTAATTGTTGAGCATCCAGTCTAAGTTATTCAGGCGGCTTAATATGTAATGCTTAGCTGCCTCGTTAAAAGATTGAAATCACTGCGTGATTATGGCACGGATTGCTCTGTATGTCTTTCATCTGTTTTAATGTGGGATATAACATATGCAGCAGAAGCAGGAGGGTGTTTTATATAGCATCATTTTAATGGAGCTGCCCAGAGACAATGTCCTTGAAGAGGTAGTCATGCAGCGTTGTAATGTCGCCTGGGCTACTGGCCAGTAAATGGAAGATCAATCTTAAGGCAGGCAATAGAAACCGTGCAGCTTCTACAAAACTTAAATCTGGACACTGTCTGTGTGTCATGGTAATGTTGGGGAGCAATGCCTTTTTGTTTCTCATCAAAAGGCTTAATGGTTTCATCTACAATAAGCAGCACAAATGTTGTGTAAGCTTATAAAGAGGCTTTTTCTGGAGGTGTTTTATGCCAGATTGATTTGAAGCCCGCTGCTATGTTGATTCTTTTATATAGTGAGCCAGCTGAGTGTACAAATGTGTAAGAGATAGAGTGTATTTCATCAATGTAATCTGTGGGGCTGCAACCAACGATTATTATCTTTGTCAATTAATCTGACAATACTTTTCTCCATTAAGAGATTAATTGTTTGGTCAGTGTTATTCAGTGTTTGCCAAGCACGAAGATAGGGTCCTTAAATTACTTGTGTAATGTAGATATCTTACTGTCGTCAAGTAATAACAAAACTAGAAAATAATAGCTTTTTTATCCGAAAAAAAATATTCAAACTGAGGAATGAAATATTAGAATATTTGGCCATTAATTGAATGGTTGACAACTAATCTATTTATCTTTACAGCTGAAGTGAGTTATATGTATATTAAATCATTGATAGATACCTCTAAATGTGCTCTCTCAATCTATTTGCATTCTTTTTACTTATTGTCTCTGTTCTTGTTCCATTTGGTCCTCACACACACACACACACACACACACACACACACACACACACACACACACACACACACACACACACACACACACACACACACACACACACACACACACACACACACACACACACACACACACACACACACACACACACACACACACACACACTGCACCTGGCTAATGACTGATTATTATCTGCCTCCTACACGTCTCCTCTGTGTACCAGGAACACTTCCTGGAGGTCATTCAGAACCAGGAGTTTCTGCTGCTCCCCACGGCTGAGATTGTTAAGCTGCTTTCCAGCGATGACATCAACGTCCCCGATGAGGAGACCATCTTCCAGGCTTTGATGATGTGGGTGCGGTATGACGTCCAGCAACGACAAAAAGACCTCGGTATGCTGCTCGCCTTCATCCGTCTGCCTCTTCTTCCTCCACAGGTGAGATAACATGGAAAGGGGTAGAGGTGGTGTCTAGGAAAATGTATGTTTGTCTATAGGAAAAAAGGCCCCTACCAATGTTAAATAAAGCATGACATACTCAAATGTTCAAAATCCAAAGATATTCAGTTTACTATCATTGCAAATTTAAAATGTTGGAACCAGGCAATAAAAAATTGCATTTTAGTTTGAAAGTCAATCTACTAAATGATGAATTGACTACTTGTTTCAGCTATAAGTCACATACATGAACTGAAAGATAACAACCCAGTTCACATCCAATTGACCACTGTAAGGCCGTGAACTACCGTATTGTCAATAATCCTTTTGTTTAGTGGCTGTACAAAAACAATTCTACTCTCAATGATAAATCAAACTGACAGTATGACAGCTAAACATAATCTTTTATATGCATTACCAGACTTTAAATTGCTTGCTTATGTTTGATTTATTATGGTTTCAAGCACAGCAACTCAAGTTTTATGACAGCTGTATTTCAGATAAGAAGCATTTACAACTGTGTCATGTCTGACCAATTTACATACCATCCAACCCAGATAAGCAATATTTTCCAGATCTGAAGTATGAAAACATCTCCTTTTTTAAATTATTGCTGCTTTATTTTCACTGACAGACTTCCAAGACTAATTATGCACATGTTTTTCACTCTCACTTTATATTGGTGATTAATAAAATAACCCTCAACATTATTGTCAACACAACTTTGAAGTGAATTTTTGTAATGAATAACACAAATAAGTGGTAAATATTATCCAGCACAGAAGTTATCTCATAAATTGTCTTGGGAGATGTTGTCGGTTGTGAGGCAAATAAACATCAGAAATAATCAATGTGATTTTCATAACCGTTACTGTAGAAACTGAAAAGATGAGCCGCGTAGTTCCACATAACTTGCAGGCATAACAAGATCCATAGTTTTATAAAAAAACATGATATGAGGGTTGAAACATTAAATAAAACCAAATAAAAAAGTGTTCTCTTGTCAAAGCAAAAGCTACAATCTACTGCGTGGGTTCAATAGTAAATAGAGGTAAGATGTTTAAAGAAGCCCTATTATACACATTTTCAGGTTTCATAATTGTTTATTGTGAATCTACTGTGACATGTTTTCATGCTTTATTGTTCAAAAAGTACTTTATTCCTTTTTTCCTTTTTTGAGAATGTAGCCTATTGATGTGATTTCTTGAATTGTAGCTCCTTGCAGATCTGGAAAACAACAAGATGTTCTCTGATGATCTGGAATGCCAAAAGCTTCTGATGGAGGCCATGAAGTACCATCTCCTGCCTGAGAGACGTCCGATGTTTCAGAGCCCAAGAACCAAACCTAGGAAGTCCACTGTGGGCGCACTTTACGCTGTAGGAGGGATGGATTCTACCAAAGGTACATGGCCCGTATGCTCAAGGTATCAACACACAAGATTGTATTTGACTTAATTGTATTACTTGCTGTGGTTTTAGGCTCCACCACCATAGAGAAGTATGACCTGCGGACTAACACTTGGGTCCAAGTTGGAGTAATGAACGGACGCAGGCTGCAGTTTGGTGTAGCAGTAATAGACAACAAGCTGTATGTGGTCGGAGGGAGGGATGGACTCAAGACGTCCAACATGGTGGAGTGCTACAATCCTATCAATAAAGTGTGGTCCACCATGCCACCGATGTCAACACACAGACATGGACTTGGTAAGTGTGTCCAATGAGATAAATATAGCTGAAATTAGTTCATTTAACAGTAATAGACATATATCGTAATAGCTCGATAATTATATGCTCTACTATCGATAGAGTATAGAGTGGTGCAGGGATGAAATATTTACCCAGAAGTAAGCTGCGCATGGGTTCCCTCGACAAAAAAGCAATGGGATTTCTCCATAGGATTTTGGAAAATAGCTCGAAATAAGGTCTGTGGAAAACGAACCTGTTTGATAAATGCACGCTTTGTTCAGCCGGATAATATCCACATGTCTACCCTACTTTTATAATACTCTAATCATAAATCTAATGGCCAGAAGCAAAATGCTAACGTTATGCTATAAACGAACTACAGCAGGGTCGCACGACTTCAACGTCACGCCAACTTAAGATCGATATTCAAAAATACTGATTCAAAATTGTACAAGTTGAAGCGTTTGTTTGAACAGTTTGCAGGAGGCAGGTACTTGCTTTCAAGAAGAAGAGGGGCAAACAAACTTAGCGGGAGTGTTTTACGTGTTCGGCGTAATGACGTACAACTTCCTCGACAACTTCTGTAGTCCTATTCAGCCACATGTTAACAACCATCGTTTTTCAGACACGTAAACTCTTCAAAAGTCACCAGTGGGGTCACTGCTGATGTATTTAATGTCGTAGAACAAAACGTGATCCGTCTCTTAAATTTGTGTCAAACACAGACCTTATTTCGAGCTATTTTCCAAAATCCTATGGAGAAATCCCATTGACTCCGAGACGATGGAACCGGTAGTGGTCAAATGCTAACTCACTTCCGGGTTTTAGGACTTGACACTGCACCACTCATTAGGTGATCTTGACAAAGAAAAGGGCACATTCTTTCATAATCTATTGATTAAAGACATAACAAAATTACTTTGCCATTCCAAAAATATATAGTCACTCATCAACCATTTTAAAAGTACAACAACAATTGGACACTCTCTAATGGCAAATACAGTATGTCAGTAGAGCTGCAACTAAATATTGGTTAGTCTTCTCATATCAATGTTTTAATCAAATGTATTGATGAACAACTCCACCATAGCACCATGTGGTATTAAGAAAACGATTTCCAAGTCCTCCATTTTTCAATGTTTTTCTCACTTCCATTTATTATTGTGTGTTCGTTTTTGTCATACTTAAGCCAAATGTATTTTGACTTTGTTATTAGTTTTTTGTTATGATGTATAAGCTTGGTCAGGCAACCTGGTGTTAGGAAAAACCAACAACTGCAGGATGCATGCTCAGGAGGGTCACAGCAGGCGTGCTGTAGAAAATAATCATACATTTATTTTTGAGATACGCAGACCTTTGATATCTTCACATTCGCTTATCAAAGCTGGGCATGCTGTGCTGGCTCTGCTCCTCTTTACCCTTCCCTGCCCAATAAATCTCATATCAGAAGCATTTTGATTCACAGTTGAAACAGGTCTTGGTAACAGAACAGGAAGATCTTGTCAAAGAGTTCATCCCGCTCACCCACTGTGGTCGGACGTATCAGCCAGCCCAGGAGATCACACTGTACAGATTACCTCTGTTGTCTTTGATCCTCTCCGTAGCAAATGTCTCTTGCTGCTTTGCCTGTGACATGCATATTTTCAGTCTGAATACATTTAAGCTTTTCTGTCTACCAACATCTCTGCCCAACCATTTCATGCTGCATGCATTATCAGTAAGGACAAGTAAAAGTATTTATTTGTATTCCAAAGCCACTAGTCGGCAATAAAAAGGAGTTTAACCACGACAATTGCTTTTGTCTGACAGTGTTTATGACATTCGAGGTTTCTTGAATGCGGTCTTGCCCTTATGTTCCTTCAAAATAATTGAACTCTCACCAAAGGAAATAAGGGTGGTAATATACAAATCCATTGTGTAAAACATCCTGTGCAATGTTGCTGGGTGAAAACGCTTTCCTCTGTGACTTGGGAATGAGAAACAACCATGCAGTTTTATAGTCTTCCTGTTTTTCTGAATGCAGTCGGTCAGCTACATGACTCACTCTGCCCAAATCTAAAATGATAAATGTACCTCTGTCGCAGCTCTTTCTAAGAACTGTTGAAAGAAGACAAGAGTTTGGTTTGGTAATGCCATTTAATTTAGATCATCCTATACAAATACATACAGTATATTAATACACAAAATGTAACAATATTAATAGATGTCATAAGTGTTCAAGAGGATTGTTTTACTTCTTTACTAAATCAAAAATGTATTTTGGTCATTTGTATCTCTCGTTTCTATTTGTGTAGGTATAGCTGTGCTAGAGGGCCCCATGTATGCTGTGGGAGGCCACGACGGCTGGAGCTACCTCAACACGGTGGAGCGCTGGGACCCGCAGGCCAGACAGTGGAACTACGTGGCCAGCATGTCGACACCACGGAGCACCATGGGAGTCACAGCACTCAATGGAAAGTAAGTAACTTAATCACACCAACAGCCCTGCAGTCATTTTAATGCTTAAAATGTGCAACCTCACACTATGAGGATAAGTATATTGTCGTATTTCTGTGACTTTGAAATATATTGGATCCTGAGGTCGATCGAGGTCACTGGCATCTGTAAAGCCACAACCAACAGTGAAGTGGTGCAGGGTCTGCTTTAATAAAAGTTGTCCTTTTAAATGAAGAAAAGATGAATGTTACAGTGTTGAAGAACAAAAGACTCCCCCACACTGTCCTCTTCACTCCATCAGGTTATATTCATTGAGTTCTGCTCTTCCACATAACAATGGTAACATATGAAAGCAAATTGTGTATAGAGATAGAATGTAAATATTAACATTATATTTGGTTTTAGATAGATAGAAGCCATCTGTTATCTTCATGAAAAAAAACTATGACAGGAACCTAAGTAGAGATTATCTTTATGATGACAATAAAATATTCTGAAAGTTGATTTGCAGACTGTTTGAAATGTAAAATAAACATGAACAATAAATTGCCTTGTGAAATGGTCAGGAGAAACGTAACTTGAAATGAATCATGCAAAAACCACAGGCATGGTTATGTAACTTATAGTGCACTGGTCCAGGAAAAGCTGTGCAGCATTAGTGCAGTTGTAGTTTGACAACATTACAGTACACGTCTTGAATGCAAAATCAACCCTTGTGGTCTGTGTGAGATAAACTACAACGTGGCTGCAGTAGTCAGCAGCACACAGTGTTCGGATCTCTGAGGTAATTTATACAGTGTAATTTAGACTCTATAAAAACACTTTGTATATTTGAATGAACTAAATGCCTGACAACATTATTTGAAAGTAAATTAAGCAAAGAAAAGACCGGCTCTCAGACTAATTTAAATATGTTTCTGTGCCGAAGGAGAAAAGAGGCTGCTGCTCTGCTACATCCAGTATTCAGTGTAAAAGTCGATGCTGAGTTATTTCTGCAACTAGGTCAAAAATAGACAAAAAGGAAGCTGTTTCCCTAGCCTCTACTTTCTTGCTGTTGGGCCTGTGAGCTGCAAGCACTAAACACATTGATGTGATCTCTCTGGGAGAGAACACTCTCAAGGAAAGGGCCTTTGAAAAATGGCATTTACTACTAACTCCTCTGACAAAATCTGTCATGTTATCATTGTTTTGTCATGCTTTTTAAAACATCTGATGTGAGCTACTAATGTCAGATCGACCAGGACTTTATGTACCTGCCTGATGTTAGGGATTTTTAACTCATTTTGTTATATTGCTCAGATTGTTTGCAGTAGGTGGTCGAGACGGCAGCTCGTGTCTGAGGTCCATGGAGTGCTTCGATCCGCACACCAACAAGTGGAGTATGTGTGCTCCCATGGCCAAAAGGCGAGGAGGAGTGGGTGTGGCAACATACAACAACTTCCTGTATGCCGTAGGCGGACACGACGCCCCCGCTTCTAACCACTGTTCCAGACTCTCCGATTGTGTTGAAAGGTCTTTGAATGCTTCTTCTCTGGAGAAAACACACACAAATGTTTTGTAAGAGGTTTTGAATTGCTGTTGAATTCAGTCATGGGTGGGGACCAGGCTGTAGAACAAAAGGGAGACAAACTGTTCCCGATCCCCACCCTTTTCCTGCATTTTAAGACACGTCTGTGTTATACTACAACAATACTCAATTGAACAGATCATAGTTTCCACACATTGTTTTATAACATAGTATCTGGCACCATCTGTTGGCCATAATACCCCCCTGAACCTGAATGGGATGTGACTCTGTAGAGCACCTCCAGTCGTTATTTAATTATAAGAATTCAACTCCAATTTTTGTATTAGACCTCATGTTTGTGTGCTTACCATTATTTGTGTATTCAAAGCATACGATACACTGCTTCTGCAACCTTTTAATTCACATCAAATAATCCATTATTATTTCTTAAGCGGAGAAACGAGAAAACCCCTACATATACATATACATACATTTAAAAAAGTTTTTGTAGGATAATACACAATTGTTCATTTTGCACTATATGCTGTTATACAATCATTTACTTCAACTTCACTCCTTTCAAAAAACACATGGTTAAAGTAGACACATATCTCTTCAGCAGTGTCTTTTTTTCTGATCTTTAAAACAGTGATTTTACTCACAGGAAGCATTGGGGATATTTGGTATTGAGATTTTTAGTTGATTAGCCACTTACGATAAAGCTGGACCAATGGACGTTTTTTCACCGCCCTCTGGCAGTGAGAGGTATCGCCACAAAAAAGAGAGCAACAGAGAAGCAGCTATCTCCAGATAGAAAAAAAGAGCTGAGTTCAGAGGAAGGATAACATAATAACAATACAAAGTAAGATTTAATGAGAGCGCTCCTGGGGTTGGAGGAGATATCTCACCTGCAGGCATTTGTGCTCCAGCATGGGAAAGTCGCCACAGACACCAGACACCATAATTCCTTCGTTGTATCAAATTATACAGAGAGCTTTCCCTCCTGGCAACAGGCTGCATCAGCATTGTGTGAATGTGTTAAGCAAGGTCTTCATTGTAACAAATGTTCATTTATCTAAAAGTCCCCCCACTACAGCTTTAATGTCTGACTGTCTCCAAGATCAGTGTTAAACACTTTTACCCCAACCCCAACACTCACTTTTAAATGCAAATATTTTAGTTAGTAAAACAAATCAGAGATATATAATATTGAATAATTTTGAGTTTAATGGTGCATTTACATGTAACGCTGTTACATATTATTACATCGGACAGTGTTTTTGGCGTTGTTGTTGCATTTGGTGTTTATATTGAAAAATGTCCTAATTACAGATACATTTCTTCTGTCATATCATTAGTTGAATCTTTTCGCTTAAAACTGTTTTATAAATATAAATGACTTCATTACCAACAAGTTATTGAAGAGGAATCATATAAAGTATCATACTTTCCTTCAACAGCATGGTAAAGAGAATCTCTCTGAGGACCCAGCAGCCACCAGCATCTGTCCAAGAGACCATTTTTGCTTTTAAGTAAACAATCTGGCTCTCTATTTGGGCTAAAAAAGAGTTGCCGCCAGTGACCATTCAGACATCTGTGATTAAAGAGTGGGAATATAAGGATGTTTAAATTGGTGGGGAAGGGACACTGTTTCCTCTTGAGATTAATGCTGATATGATGAATCTTTTAGACCATATATTTAAACTTTGAATAACCTTTAGGGCTTTTTGATGTACGGAACATAAAACATAATTTAGACACCGTCAAAACACAGGACAAAAGAGACAGCAACATGTTAACATAACATCCTTATCATCATCTCAATCATAATGCAAAAACAAGTAAAAATATTGCAATTACAGGTATGACCCAAAGACGGACACATGGACCACTGTGTCGTCCCTCAGTGTCCCCCGGGACGCAGTGGGTGTTTGCCTGCTGGGGGACCGACTCTATGCTGTGGGGGGGTACGACGGCCAGTCATATCTGAACACTGTCGAGTCCTATGATGCACAGAACAATGAGTGGACAGAGGTAATCCCAAAATCATCATGTTGTTACATAGCACAGTTTAAATATGATATTGACATTGTTTCATATTTAATAAAAAATTGGGGATTTTTAACTTTTAAAATAGTTTAACTTTTTAAAGGAATTGCCAATTATTTTTGCCAGAAATGGTTGCTAATAACATCAGTGTCCCAGCTAACATAATAATAATAGTAATGCATGTGATTTTTATAGCGTACATCCTTTGGGAAAATAAATCAAGTTGTTGAATCCTATCAATATTCCTTAGCTTGCTTTGTGTTCCCACTCTTGCCTCTGTAACCCTCTTATCCGCATGAAGTATATGGGATTCTTTTTGAAGACGGCCTCAGATGGGAGGCTGCATGTTAACCTCTCTGTCGTCCTGTAGGAGGTCCCTCTCAACATTGGCAGGGCAGGCGCCTGCGTGGTGGTGGTGAAATTGCCTTGAGCGTTTTGTCTCACGACATCATGGGAAACAAATGAGAAAGTGGTGAAGAAGAGTGGACAAACAAAACAGCGGATCAAGGACACATCCTTCGAGAGTCATGTTTTTTTCTTTTTAACTCGGCTTTCAACATTTTCAGAGGGAAACACAGACAGAGCCTTGCCCATAAACCATTGTTCCTATCATTAGTGGACATGCCTTCCCACTGGGGAGGACTTATTCAGAAACTGGAATGCAATGCACATTCTCCACATTCTCAACCGATCAAGAATTTTCAGACTTGGCTAAGCTGTAGCAAGTGCCAAGCCTTTGTTGTACTGTTTTGTTAGTTTTCTGAAATGTTCTGTGTATGTCCATAACATTTAATTTAGAAGTGACATATTGAGTAAATTAGCCATCTATACAGAGACTTTTCTTATCAGTGCCATCACATACAATATATTTTGGGCTTTATATTTCACTTTATAGCCACTCAATTGAAAGTTGTTATGATACATACATGTAACCAAGTACCTGTGTATTTCCTTAGTGAGTGGTCTGTACAGATTCTTACTCTTTAGCAAAGAAGACCACTGTGATGAGTTTGTCCAGACTGGTTTAAAGAACAGGAATGAAATCAAGCTTTTTGCTAAAATATACAACTGAACATTTTCTTTTTTATTGAGACTGTAGCTGCAGAACACCAAAGTAATTTGCTTGTCTTAGAGGTCTTGTTACACTTTAAAGAAAAGTTTACAAAATTGTAAATTACAGAAAATATATCATATTGATATTTCACACTGCTGTACAGATTTTTGTGAACTTTCTGAAACCACATGTGTTGTTAGAATCATGCTTAAACCAGTGCACTCTGCTGACCACCGATGTGATTATTATTGTTATTATTCTTTTTGATTTCTGGGCATGCTGGCTGAGCGAATGTTTGACTTGATTTATACAATATTATATATCAAGATCCTTGTCTGTTCTGCATTTTTAAGGATATGATGCCTTTTCGGTCATGTGGATGATCTTATAATTTATAACATACCCATTGGATTCATTTAGAAAAAAAAGCAGACTATGTCTAAGTGACAGCAGTTGCAACTAAACCAGCTATCTGAGTCTTATGTGCATTACTCAGAAACAAGATCTTACTTGTATGTCTTAAAAGTAACAACAATAATGACTTTATCACAATAAGAACACTTTGTACCTGTGTTTGGGGCCGAATGTTAGTTTTTATCATAATTTTGTACAGCATGCAAACCTATAAATAAACTTTCTTCAGTCTTCTCTGCAAGTTCAGATCCTTGTGTAGAGCTGAATGAGGCGCCTAGGCTGGGATATTTAAATGTCCCTTGCTCTGCTTTAAGTAAACTAAACCGATTCCTTGACTAAACAGACTTGGAAGCTACTTTGATGTCGGCATTCACCTCAGTGTTCTTCTCATTGCAGCACCCACTTTTTAAATCATTCAAGCATGTTTGAGGTGCCACTCGACAGACTGAGGACCAACTGTTATTGCTTGCGTTTGATTTTTTTCATTGTTTACCATCCAAATAGTTCACTCTGCCTCACCCTCCTCTCACTTGTTTGGTAAGATTTAGATTGTTTTTGCAGACACAATTTGGGCTTATATGTCCACAGTTCTTCTTCGGAATACACCAAATATAACACTCCTTTATCTTTCATTTATTTTGAAGCAAAGCCCTTTTTGCACAATATGTATCTCATTTGATGTGAAGATAAATCTCCTCTAACTTCCTATTTCGGTTTATCTGCATCTCCTGTCAGATCCTGTAATGGAGATCAATAAAGGATAATAGCTTTCTCCTTAGTTCACCTCTGGAGGGTATCATCTAACCGAAAGCCCTACCATGTAGAATATCTATCTCCATATATCTCTGTCTAATTAATTCAGCATAATATAATGGCTGTAGTAACACGAGCCAACAGTGATGAAAATAGCTTTATTCAATTTGTCCCTGCAATGGATAACATTTTTGCACATTTGTAACCTTATATTATTTTCTTGGGAGGTCTCTCACTATTGCTAAATCCTACATATGTTATACTAAACTGCTTTGCAGACTCCGGTCAAGTTGCTACCCAATAGTTAGCAACTGCAGTTTAAGATGTGGCGAGAGTATGACACACTCTCACAAAGTCAACATGTTTTTCAAGTCTGTTTCTGGCAATAAGGGCTGTAGTGAGAATTAGCTTTTTGCTGCTTTGACTCGTGTTAATTGACTTTTGCTTAATGTTTTGCAGGAATTTCTAAGTGATAAAAAAATCACATTTACATTTAGAAGAAAGGTGGTGCTGCACTGATCTAGAGCTGGCTGAAGTTTGATATCAAAACCATGTCTATCTTTAACATATTATTACCTAAACATTTTAGTATTTCAAATGATTAAATAAAACATATTGATTTATAAAAGTTTCCAAGTTTCTCTTTGAATTTCTTCATAAGAATTCAACATGCCGGCGTATTAATACGTATGTCCATTTATTGTACATTTCAGTCATCTTCAATTGTTTATCACTGCACTTTTATCCAAGTATGCCATCTCAACACAGCCCAATTAGTTCACCCTTCCCTGCAAAGTGTACATTCACAACCGAAAGCAGGCATTATCCAAAGATAAGTGAAGATACAATATCAGGTAACAAGGCCACACTTTATGATGATTCCATGTTTTCATGTTGAATGAACTTGAATATAAACTACTTTCCTTAAATAAGGTCCCCTCAACATTATTACAAAGGAAGCGATGGAGACAAAAACTGGAAATGAAATGTGGTTTTGTGTATTCAGTTTAGAACAAAAATAATACAGAAAGTTGGAACCAGATGAGAGCTTTTAAGCGTGAAGGTCCCAGCACAAGTTTAGATTGTTAACTACTATTTAAGGTACTAAAAACTAATGCAAACAAAGTATTGATATATGCATCCATCCATGATCGATGATGTAAGGGACAGTTTCGCTTAGTTCATTTTAGCAGTTTGAAGACACACTCATACTGTATGCTCCTTGATGGTGATGTAATAATATCATCCATTATCAAGAGAGGGTGCTGTTGCACTGCACAGAACACACCAAACCACACTTACCACCGCAAACGGAAAATCAAAGATCTCCAATACCATCACTGTTCATAATAAATGTCAACCGGCATTAAGAATGCCAAGGACAAATACTTGAGCTAATAACTCTGCATAATTATTAAGACATGATGATGAAATGTTGGGAAATTGGATGTTAAGGCGTCTCCTCTTACTTTCAAATGAGCATCATGCTGAGTTTTAAGGGAAGCACGGAGACTATACAAGCAAGATGAATCCCGACTTGAGAGGTGATTTGTCAGGTTTTAAAGGGATTTTGGCATCACAAAAGTTTGATCAATCTCACATAATTGTGTGACAAATGGAGACAGATTGTTCTATTTTTAAGCTCAGCTCCTTGCCGTTTTAGGGGGATATTTTTTCAGGAGTAAGAGTGCAGCTCTGCCTTGTATTTTATTCTCTTTTGTGTGCCTGACAGTTAACAGAGATGGAAAGCGATGAGAGAACGCTGCAACAGCAGAGTGTGAGGATAGCAAACATTGTACCAAGAAGACACATCATATGTTTACCAGATTGCTTTCTTCTTATACATATTATATACATAAAGATAACAAGTTTTTATAAAGAACAAAACATTGCATTGCAAAGATAACATGTTACAGATATTTGGATTGCACCAAACACATTTTCTTCTGCCAGATAAATGATAACGCTGCATAATTGTCTGCTGTCAAAATACTGTCTCAGAACTTCAGTGCAGCTCAGTTGGCCTAATGCTCACTGAAGAATGTCTGACAAAAAAAGATTTGGATGGTTTATTTGTCAAAACACAGTGTTCTAAGAAAGACTGAGAATAAAAAAAACAGCATGCGAGGGATCATCTCCACCATGGGGACAAAAGACAAGATGGATCCCTCTACAAGTGCCACAACAAACTGTCAACTTAGAATAAGATTGTCTCGTCAAGCCTGCTTAAATAAGCCTGTTAACATGGCACTTTTGACATCTTGCATTGGAGTGCTATGTCTGGCAAAATGTTGTGTCTTCTCTTCCCAGGTGACGGCAAATCTAAGTTACACTGTGACACATTTTTTCAAGCGAATGAATTCAGAAAGAGGCAAAGATTTTAACATATCACATGGGCAGCAGGACAGTAACCAGAGATGTGTGTTTCTGTTCGGTTAATAATCCAGATGTGCCTGAGAAATCCCCTGCTTGAGGAAATACAGTACAAACTATGGCCTTTCAGTGACACTGGCGGTGATAAAGTAGTTAGCTGCGCTTTCTTGAGTCCAGCACTGATACAAAGAATGACAGTTGCTTTTCTCGTCTGATCAAAGGCTGCAGACAAGTGCTGCAGAATGTTTCTCACCCATTTCTCCCCCCTAAATCCTGTCTCTATCTAATGATAGTTGAATACATTGTCATCTCATTATCTTTGAAGAGGGGATGGATCCCTCCCGTATGAGTGGGCACTGTGTCTCTTGCCATCAGACGGGCCCTGAGATTGGTGAAGCGCATTCTGGTCTCATTATGTTGAGTGAGAGATATCAGACACATCCCATCTGCCTAACGCCTTCCGCACACATGCCACCATGCTTGAGTCATGCAAGCTGGTTGAGAAATACTGCAAGCAGTATCTGTAATTCTATAATTCAGCTGTGAGGCTTGAAATCTAAGCAGGTTCGGGCACTGGTATTAACAAAATCACTGCATGGTTACATATAACTTAGTATTAAGAGAATACAAAGGAGCAGGGAAGTTTTCGTTTTCTGTGAGAGTGGTAAATATCGAAGAGTCCATTACTCTTAAGACATGCTCTAGCCTGCATCTCATATATCATTAATATTGCATGTCGTTTTTTTCCGTAATGGTTTTAAACTAGTACACAAAACTAATTTACCCCCCGGCAACTGGCTGCAAGGTTTATTTTATAGTTCCTTCAGACAAATAAAAGGAGAATAGAATCTGCAGTCCCTTCCAATTCTCCAATTTGCAAAAACCCTCCGCGGGGTAAAGAAACAGCATAGATAGGGGGGGGGATTCTGAACACACAGAATCACACAATCTGATGCAATGGCACCTTAAATTGCAACCGCAAAAATTATCTTAAATGAATATGATTAGCTTTATATATTGTAGCTTACTCATGCTTTTAAATTAACTTTTTTAATTTGGACATACAGTTCAATTCCATTCAGGAATAGTTTTGATTAGCATGACTTTTCTAATAAGAATGAATAGTGCTCAAAGCCAAAAGGCAACAATAACGTGTGACAGAAAGGCCAATTTGGTCCCAGTTTCTCTTCACTGGCTCTAACAGATGTCATGGGCCAATTGCCAAACATCTTATCGTGGACACAGTACAGTGAAACCACAACACTGATCTACATGATGAATGTCAGATCAAAATGAATCCAGCCATGGTTTTACCAGCTTTGAATTCATGCATGGGGAAGCCTGTCAGGGGCGAGAGATGATGTGGACACTGGCTCTCACTGTTTGTCAAGATTTTACATCCCTCCCCCTCGCTACTCGTTTGAAGCTAGTCATCTGCTGTCTAGCAGCTTGCTGCCAATACGCCTGAGAATCTAGATTCAACATTTGTGGACTTCTTAAAAGAATGAATGCAATTAGACTGTTTTGTGGGTGTAAAGCCTCCCTTTGCATACACCATGCAATCTATCATTTTAATGGGCATCAACGTTCCCAGGGAACACGCTTTAATTTGGTAACAACACTTGTCTATTCCTTTTTCTAGGTCTCTAATGCTGACAGTAAACTAGTGACCCATCAATAGATTTTTTCTTTCTCACAGCAGTTTTGCCTCTTTGGAAGGCTGCGTGGAATAGAGAAATACAGAACTAAAAGCAGACTTTTGGATGTTGAGCTTCAAATGATGTTTTGACATCAAATGGGATAATGAGGGGCCATCAAAACCAGAAGAAGATCACCTACGCAAACAGCCCAATTCTTTAAATAAAATGTGTTGCTTGTTTTGTGACTGATATCAAGACAACAAAGTTGCTTTTGTCCAACTCACTTTTAAATTCTTTGCAGCATCAATCATCTAGAAAGCATGATGTCCACTTCAATGACACAAGCTCTCGCTCCTCTGAACGACACACGCAATATACATTTTACTGCCTCTTTTTTCCGATAAATCTTTGCAATGGGAGGGGACAGCGTTGCTTGTGTGCCACTATTGTATCGGCTATGCCTCTTACCC